GAATTTTCAAGATTTCAACAATGTAAACATAGAATAGTTATTTAATAAAAATTGTGATATAACTGTACTGTGAAGCTGGGAGGGGAGGGCAAGCCAGGGTGATGGTATGAGGAGACTAAATGCTCATTTCCCATACTAAGAGCTTTATAGACAATGCTTGAAATTGAAAAGTGAAAAAATAGCAATAGTAGGCATGAAGTATTACAGATTATTAGTAACAGTAGTAGATTCGTATCATTGCTTTGAAACCCAAAGATAAATACCAGAAAAAATAGCTAAAGGAGCTGAAAGTTGCTGCCCCTGGGGAGAGGGATTTATGAGTGGGAGGCATGGATATGGGACTGTTTTTTTTTTTTTTCCATCAAAAGCCTTGCAGTATAATTGGGCTTTTTATATTGGATTAATTTGAAAACAATCAGAAATTAATTAAAAGGGAAAATCCCTGATTCTCAGCTGCAATACACAGATAAGCATGATTGTAGCTTACGTCTAACAGCACAACTGATGCAGTGCCAAGGGCCGAGTGGTAGTATTCCCTAACTGCACAGAGCAGTTACAGAGCCCCAGTTGGGGCCTGAGGGCTGACTCTGCATTCCCACACCTATAAAGTGAGCTCAGAAATAACAGTAGCAGCAATAACAAAAAAACAAGAAATCTCCCAAGATAGCATGCCACTAAACACCAAATGACTAGGGCAGCGTGTACAGGACAGACCTCTGCGCCTGGTGTGGTCAAGAAAGGTTTAGTGGTGTGAAGCTTGAAGGTGGTGGGAAGGTTAGGAAGGCCTTGGAGAGGTTGAATGAGGAACAAAGGGCATTCCAGGAAGGCATCCTGTGCAAGCAGGGGTTTAGGGATAAGCCTGGAAAGGTGCTCAATGCCAGCCTTCTATCTTCCAGCTCAGAGTGCTTCTATTGGTAGGATCTTCAAGGAAACAGTGTTGTGTTTAAAAACCAGGGCTCCAGGGGCGCCTGGGTGGCTCAGTCGTTAAGCGTCTGCCTTCGGCTCAGGTCATGATCCCAGGGTCCTGAGATGGAGCCCCGCATCGGGCTCCCTGCTCTGCAGGAAGCCTGCTTCTCCCTCTCCCACTCCCCCTGCTTCTGTTCCCTCTCTCACTGTGTCTCTCTCTGTCAAATAAAAAAAATTTTTTTTGTAAATCTTTAAAAACCAGGGCTCTGGATCTGAAACCTGCCACTTCCACTGATCAGTTTTGCAACTCAGGTTAGTTACCTAAATCTCCTCAAACTTTGGTTTCCTTATGCCTAAATTAAGGCACAAGACTATTACATCTCACTGTTGGTGTGAGAATGAAGTGAATGTACCAGCAAACCTCAGCACAACAGAGTAAGCACACAATAAATAGTAGCTGTTATAGGAAACTCTATAGGACCAATAGCCTGGTTTCTTCAAGAAATAAATTCAAGGTAGAGGGGCGCGTGGGTGGCTCAGTTAAATGTCTGCCTTCAGCTCAGGTCATGATTCCAGGGTTCGGGGATCGAGCCCCACATTGGGCAACCTGCTCAGCGGGGAGTCTGCTTCTCCCTCTCCCTCTGCCCCTCCCTCCACTTGTGCTCTCTCTCTCACCCGCTCACTCTGTCTCTCAAAAAAATAAATAAAATCTTAAAAAAAAAAAAAAAGGAAGAAATTCAAGGTAGAGAAGGAAACACTACAGATTAAAAACCTCAAGAGATGTATCAACCAAATACAATGTATGGACCTTGTTTATATCCTAAATACATCAACTGCAAAAAAGAAAAAATTAGGATGCAGTTGGAGAAATTTGAATACTGATTGCAAATATGATGATATTAAGGAATTACTGTCAATTTTTTAGGTGTGATAATGACAGTGTTGAGTGTGTGCATGTATGTTTTTAAGAGTATCATTTAGAGACACACAATATTTATAGTTAAAAAAAAGTGACATCTGAGATTTGCTTTAAAATAACCTGGGATGCAGGGGCGCTTGGGTGGCTCAGAGTTGGACTCCTGATTTCGGCTCAGGTCATGATCTCAGGGTTGTGAGATCCAGCTGGCATCAAGTCCTGTGTCTGCCCACGTCCCTATTGGGCTCTGAGCTGGGCATGTAGCCCGCTTAAGATTCTCTCTCTTCCTCTGCCTACCCCCCACTCCGCCCCTGCTCACTTGCTCCCCACCTCTCTCCTAAAAAAAAAAAAAAACACTAATCTGGGATGCAGATGAAGTAAGAATGGCCATTTGCTCTAAGTGTTACAGGTGGTGACAGATATATGGGAATTCACTGTACTATTCTTTCAGAAACATTTGAAATTTTCCTAAAAAAAATCTAAAAATAAGTTGAGTAAATGGTAGCTGTTATGATCGCTACATTTTCATGAATATATATGAGAATGTAAGCAAGGATATTGGTTTATCTTTGTTATCTTCCCTTCCCCACAGGGCCTCTGAGTCTTCTTCATATGATAAAGCTCAATGTAAACCTCTCTCAATGTAAATCACTCTCTTGCTTTTAGAACACTTTGATAATTTCCCTCTACTCTAGGGATAAGAACCCCAAATCATAATAGGGCTATTTAATTTTTAAAGGCCCTGCCCATCTCTTTAGCCTTGATTCAGATCACTTTTCTATTCATATTCAGTGAATGACCTTTTTTCTGTTCCTCAAATGAGTGACACACTAACCTCTCCTAAACCCTCAGCATACGTTGTCCCTAATTTCCACAACATTCCTGCCCTCACCCCCTATCCTCCCAACCACCTTCCATCTAATTATCTCCTACTCTTTCTTCAGACCTCACCTCAATCTCCATTACATCCTCTAGCCTCTACTGACCAGCCCACTCCCAAGACAGGTAATTCTCCTGCATATACACTCTCACAGTCAGCCACCTACCTCTCCTTCACAGGACTTAGCACAACTGTAATATTAAAATTTTGTTGTTATGTATCATTGCGTTGCCAGCACTTAGCACAGGGCCTGGCCTAGAGCAAATGACCAATATCTGTTGAATAAACAAATCAGTAAATGATGATTCACTGACAAATAGGACCCCCTTCACGTGTTCCCACTGCTGCCACAAGACCTCACTCAAGTGTTCTATATGGCTGGCATTAAAAATCCCAGTTCTCCCCTCACCAGTCATCGCCCACGTTGAAGGCATTAAGGCTCTTGGTGAAGCCTTGCATATTGGTGGGGCTGACTCTCTGCAAGAAGTCGATGTAGTCCTCAGAGTGAAAGCGACACATGTCATGCTGGGAGGCCTGGTACGGCTTGAAGACCTCGGGATGGAAACATAAGGAGAACCCAGGGGAGATCAGTCGCATTCATCGGGCTGAGACTGCCCACACTGAACCCAGCCCCGTGGACTGTCCAAATTCACACACATCAGCAGTCTCCTCACCCCTCCGATCCTTGTTATTCTATTAAGCAAAGGTCAGTGAAGAAGAGAGGCTCTGATTAGCCAGGTGGGGTACTATGATCAAGTCTCCCAAAGAACAGTGCACTTGCCTTCTCCTTCCCACTTCCAGCCCAACCTTTCCCCACCTTCTCAACCTTGAGCCCTTATCCACCTACCCTGTTCCTTGGATCTCCTATTTTTTATTCTTTCCATACTCATCTCCTCCCCCTGGCTCTGATTCCGTCCTCTCCTCCGAATCCTTAATTTTAGAGTTAAATAATATGGGATATGTGACAACCTTCTAATTAAAACCCTGGGGTGCCAAGATGCTAAGCCAGAGATTTATTATCTTTTGGAGGGTTCACACTTCTTTAGAAATTGGGCAAGAACAAAAAGCTTCTCTCCCCAGAAAATGCACACAGGTATGTACCAGCAAACAATTTCAAGGGCTTCATAGATTTCATGCACTAACCTCACCTCAGTCTTTTCTAAAGCTAATTCACTTGTCTGTGCCTCAGCACAAACAGTGGACAACATTCATTCATACTGTTGACTAATTCCCCTCGTGACGCATGAGGGCTGAGCTTAACTGTTATAATCGCCTATCACAACTATAAATTCCAAGTTGGGGGTTGTCTATCTCCATGTGCATATCTGGGAGATGGAGGATTGAGTAGCAATTAAGTAGAACCATGTGGGGAGTATTCTAAGTTGATAAGGAAATACCCAGGACATCTCCTGCTCTCTTCCACACACACATACACATTTGCACACAGGGCTACAGAGTCCTCCCTGGAGCTCTAGCTCCTTGGAGGTGGAGAGAGGTGGCAAAGAAAGGGTGAGAACTGCGGTGGGAACACCTACATCCAGATAAAGTGATCCAGCCCCTCTCTCCTGAAGCCACAGCACTACCCACATCCTAAGATGCTGGGGAGGAAAACACCTTCTATCGTCAAACCAGCCCCACTCCACCCTAACCACAGGCCAGATGTTGGTCTACCTGAGGTCAAAGGGTGGCCGACCTAAGGTGAAAAAGTAACTCCCATTAGGTCAGTGGATCCATCCACCTACACTCTGCATATGGCGGGTGTTCCTGGCTCCTTCCATCCACCCTGCCCCCCACCCCAAGGGTGGGTTGCACTTGGTGCATTCAGGGCAGCCCACCTATCCTAGGGCCACACAGCTCGCCGCACCCTCAATACCCAGCAGCGATGGCGAGACTCACGATCATCTTCTTATAGAGACCGTAGTGAAGGACCAAACTATGGGTCAATGCCAAGCGATGGGGCTTCATAGGGTGCCCTGCCCCTGGGGGTGGGAGAAGAGAGTTCGTCAGTTCCCGACGCCGGAGTTATAGCCCCCGCCTCGAAACCTCCGCGTCCCGAAGCTCCTCGCGTACAACCTTGCTCCCTCACCGTAGTGGAAGTTGCCCACGTCGGGGTCGTAGAAATAGGCCACGGTCTTGGCCATGGTGCCGGCGGGAGCAGGCCCCGCGCCTCCGCCGCCCGCCCGGCCGCCTGCCCCACCCCCGCTCCTACGTGCTGCGTAAGCACGCAGCCTGCCTCTGCGGAACCGGGAAGTCCAGGCCCCGCCTCCCTGACCACGCCCCCTGCGGAGTTCCGCCCCTCGCTCGGCTTTGCCCTTCTAGGTTCCCGAGCTTAAGCTTCTGGGCTCTGCGGAGGACGGGTAGTATGGTCCTAGGATGCGAGGGTCATTTCCTTCCGGGCGGGGGTCAAATCCTCGGGAATCCGAGACATCTCGTCCAGCCAGCTGCCCCAAACGGGGCGCAGGCCGTTGTCACCAGTCTAGGAGACTCCAGAGAACCGCCACGCCGTCCCTCTCGGGTGCGGAAAGCCAGCTTCCCCTGGCCCGTTGAGAAGGTTCCTGGCTATCCACCGGACCGAAGCATTTGAGGGCAGGAGCCGCGCCAAGCATGCGGGATAGACCAGTGGAGAGCACTTTGTTCTGACTGCCTGTCCTCCCCACCCAGACCGAGACTCGGCGCCGCACACTCCCCCCGGGGGGGTCGGGGGGGGGGCGGTGCAGTCACGTGCACCCCACACTTGCGCTCACAAGCGCGCAAGGCTCTCGCTCTCCGCCCCGCACACCTGCGCTCCGCCCCCTGGTCCCGGGCTGGCGACCGGCGAAGGCATTTGGGAACCTAGATCGGCTGCGGCGGCGCCCCCCACCCCCATCTCCTTCCCCTTTCCACAGCCAGAGTTGTCCGGAGCCAGCCGCCGCTCCCAACTAGCCCGCATCCCTCTTCATCCTTCCCTCCCCCTGCCTGCCGCGGCACCGGTATCTGCAGCCGGAGCCCGGAGCCGGTGAGGCGGCGAAGGGGGGAGGGGGAGGAAGCAAGGGATGAGCGCCGGGAGGGCGTCGGGGGCCCTGAGCCGGACTAGGACGTCCCTGGAGCCGGAACCGGAGCCGGAGCCGGAGCCAGAACCAAACCACCGGTACCGAGTGGGCCAGGTGGTGAGGATGGGAGGAACCGAAAGGGGTGGCGTTGTGCGGGCATACAGGCAGGGGAGGGGGTTGCAGAGGCCTGGCTCAGGCCGGCGCGGAGGAGGTGCGGACGCTGACTCAGGCGCGATTCTTGCGCCGGCCGCCTGAGAATTCCGTCCCATCTCGCTCTGCAGTGTCCTTGGGAGGGACGGAAGCGCAGGACAAGCTGGAAAGGGGAACGCTCTGGGCGTCGGGGAAGCAGGATCAGGGTCGTGGAAGAGGGCTTGCGCAGCCGCCGTCTGGCACCCTTGCCCCGGACCAGCACCCCTGGCACGGACAGCTCCTTGGTTGGGTAGGGGGGTGGGGCGGGACCTCAGAGGCTTGTCGGTTTCGGGTCCTGAGGACCGAATTCCTATCCCTCCCCCAGTCCCTAGCTGCAGCCCCTAACCCCAGGAGGCTCCCTGGCCCGCGCTCGCCCCCCAGGGCCTCATGTCGGAACCACAGCCAGACCTGGAGCCGCCCCAACATGGGCTATACATGCTCTTCCTGCTTGTGCTGGTCTTCTTCCTCATGGGCCTCGTAGGCTTCATGATCTGCCACGTGCTCAAGAAGAAGGGCTACCGCTGCCGCACGTCGAGGGGCTCGGAGCCTGACGATGCCCAGCTCCAGCCCCGTGAGTGAGGAGCCTAGAACCTGGCTCAGTCACCTTTCTCCCATACCCTTCACCCTACACCTATTTCTGCCTTCCTGGCCAAGAGGCGAAATCCTGACCAAGCCTTCAGGAGGCTTAATGACGCTTTCTTGAGTCAGCAAGTGGGATGACCCCACCCTGAAAGCAAGCCTAGGAAAGGCAGCATGGATGGGAAGGGCCCACTGTTGGTAGTCTTGGGCTCCCACTGACTTTCCCATTTTTTCTGCCCTGACCCCTAAATGTTAACATCCAGCATGATGGCAAATAGACAAAGGGATAGGTCTTGAGCAGTAAGCCACAGAAGCCACCAGGTAATGTCCACCCAAAGCTGACTCATTTCCTGCTTCCTTGCCAACCTCTCATCCTTCAGCTGAGGACGATGACATGAATGAGGACACCGTAGAGAGGATTGTTCGCTGCATCATCCAAAATGAAGGTGGGTGTAGACTGGCCCTTTGCTCTCCCCAGCCCCGCTCAACTTTCTCTTGCCCTGACCTCCACCTCCACTGACTCCCTCTTTTCCTTCTCCCCTCAGCCAATGCTGAGGCCTTGAAGGAGATGCTGGGGGACAGTGAAGGAGAAGGGACAGTGCAGCTGTCCAGGTGAGCTGGAAACAAGGGCCAGCATGACTTAGCTTGCCTTGGAGAGTACCCTCTCCTCCAGCACAATCCTTTCCCAATGTTCTCGCATGTCTGGGGGGAGGGGGGAGGCAAAGCTGCCTATCCTATATGAAGAAAGAAGTTTTATAGAAATCTGAGTTCTTCAAACCATACTTCCCATCTGGGTATCATCAAGCCTGACATTTATCCCTGTGCCATTCTTTTGAGTTAAACATTGCCCTCTTTTTAGCAAACAACCCTGGGAAAAAGAACACATGACAACTAAAATCTTAATATTGTGTTTATTAGATAAATACAAGAATGCTGGGGCCTGGGGAAAGTGGGGCATCTGGGGGTTTAAGAAGCTGAAAGAACAGGAGCAAATGGAAAAGGAAAGGAAATGGTAATGTCACTCCTGCTCCCTTCTTCCCTATTGTCCAGTGTGGATGTTACCTCCAGCCTGCAAGATGGAGCCCCTTCCCATCATCACACAGTGCATCTGGGCTCTGCAGCCCCTTGCATCCACTGCAGCCGCAACAAGAGGCCCCCACTTGTCCGCCAGGGACGCTCCAAGGAAGGAAAGAGCCGCCCCCGGCCTGGAGAGACCACCGTGTTCTCTGTGGGCAGGTGGGGATAGAAAGCCCCAGAAAGAGGGAGTTTGAGGTGGGAGCCCCGTGATCAGGCGCCTGACTCCAAAGGTGGGCCCCAGCTCTGTTCTCCTAGACTGTGAGCTACAGCAGAAGTCAGGCTGTACAATGTGCCCCATAATCTGGGGAGGTCTCCCCCCTCCCCCTAGGCCAGAGGGAAGTGGCCATGAAACCCAGGATGTCCCTGGTTGAGGGGAAGCCGAGCAGTCTCTGAGTTGTGGTAGTAAGCCCCAGTGTTCCCTCCCTTCCCAGGTTCCGGGTGACACACATTGAGAAACGCTATGGACTACATGAGCATCGTGATGGCTCTCCCACGGACAGGAGCTGGGGGTCTGGTGGAGGGCAGGACACAGGGGGTAGTCAGGGGTCTGCGGGAGGGCAGCCCAGGGCAGGGATACCTGCCACTGAGAGTGTGCCCCCTGAGAGGCCACAGCCCCTGGGCCTCGCCAGTCCCCCAATACAGAACGGAGGTCTCAGGGATGGCAGCCTAGTCCCTTGTGCACTTGAGGGGAACCCTAGAGCCTCTGCAGAGCCCATGCTAGGGGCTGGAAGGAAGGGCCCAAGCCCAGGACTGGCCAGTCGAGAGGCAATTGGACAGCCAAGCAAACTGGACACCTCAGATCACCAGGTATGAAGGCATGGGCAGGGCTACGGTGGGCTCAGCTCTTATTGCCTCCTACCCTGGGCGCAGGGGAGATGGCACTTTTATGACCCACATCCTGTTCTCCCATTGTTGACCACTTCTCTCTCACAGGTGTCCCCACCACGGGGAGCAGGGGGTGTGTGAGGTGAGTCTGCTTGGGCCCCAAATCAGATAATCTCATTCTCCCACCCCCTACACTCCCACCCCCTACGTACACCACCTAAGCCCATTAGCTCGCTGTACTCCCAGGGATGGCCTTTGCTACAAAGTCTGGTTTAGTGGTGGGGAGTGGGCATGTGCTCCAGGAGACAGGGAAGGTCCTGCAGCCCCGGGGAAAAGCTGAGACACATCCTGAATAGGAAGCAACACTGTTACCCTTCCTCTCCTCCAAGGCTCCTTCTTCATTGTGCTGATGGGACTACGAGCTGGCAGGGCCAGGGGGTGGGTGGGCATAAAGGAGCTCCTTTCCACTGGACAGCACTGCTCCCCAGCTGAGGAACCAGCTCTACGTCCATCTGGAGTTGCATGGTTTCAGGCTGGGGGACCTCAGGAGAAGTCTCCCCACCCCCATCCCTCAGTCTCTTTCACTTCCCCTGCCTGCCAACAGGCCGCCTGACCCCTTCCCCATCACCTCGCTCCATTTGCTAGAGCGTGGCAGCTGGGAGCAGGCCCCTGCCCTCGGTGGGCCCTTAAAGCAATAGCACCTTAGGCCCCCTGCCCTCTTGGCACAAGAGGCCCAGGCCCTGGCTTGGGCTTAGTGCCCTTTATTCACTGTCAATAAATCCACTCAGACCATTACAGCTGTTTTGCATACTGGCTCCAGCTCCTTTTGACAGGCCTGCTCCTGTCCCAGCCCCCAACCCCAGTGGCCATGGGTCACAGACCCGGTGGGGTGGGTCACAGAGCCAGGGTGGAGACACAGATGGGCTGGAGCCACTCAAGACTTTGGAGGATGGGTTCCAGCCCCAGATATTTCAGAATATTTCACCACCCTACAGATGGGGTGGTGGCAGAAGAAAGAGGGGTAGTTCCAGCCCTAGAGATAGCAGAAGTATGATGGGGGAAAAGGAGTGAGTTCCAGCCCCAGAAATGGGGAGACGGAAAGTTTCTACCCCCGGAGGTGAGAGTGGAAATGGGGGAGACTGCAGCTTTTGGCTGTGTCACTCCAGATCATTGAGGGGTTGGTCTCTGACATCATAGGAATAGGGACAGCAGCATCACTGGGGGGACAGCAATCCCCCTGGCTTCAGGTGAGAGAATCTGGGTGGCCAGGATCCGGGGCTTTAGCTGGTGGGGGAGGCGGTGGACGCATCTGTAGAGAACACAGAATCAGTACTCCAGAACCCTCCCTTGGGGATATCCCTATCCATTCCCTCAGCCTCGCAGACAAAACAGGACAAGTTGGAATGACACAATCTCCTCCAAGGGAGGGAACCTTACCGGCCTGAGTCGAGGTACCATCATGTCCAGGGGTCCAGGGCAGTCCAGGTCTTGGTCTGCAAACAAGAACCACAAGTCAGTCTTCAGGCTTTGTTTCGTTCATTGCTGCATCTCCTACACTTAGGACAGTGGAACTCTGTAAATATTTGATGAATTAATGAAGAGTCCCTAATCTTAGAGCCATAAAATCCATCAATCCATCCATCCTCCACTCTTACTTGGCACCTTGCTGAGAGGGGGAGATGGACTCACAGCACCCCCACTCCCAATGGCTGTCAGCAACCCAAGAGTGAAAAAACAATAAACACAATGAATGACTGACTGCTAAATCATTCCAAGTGAACTACAGATGCCGGAGCAGGGGGTGCAGAAAATGCTCACAGGGACCTCTGGAATCAGCGAGGGAGACTTGGTGAAGAAAGTGGAAGTACCAGAAAGTTTTAGAAAAGGTGGGCATTCCAAGAAGGAAAATGATGACACAAACCACGGCGTGGGCAGGATTCAAGAACATGAAAGGCAGAGGATGTGTAGTGGGAAAAGCTGGCTAATTTGTAAAATAATCTTCAGGAGAAAACAGCTGCTGTGGGCATGCGTACTATGGGCCAGGCACAAAGCTAGGCCCATCTTTCTAACTCTCACAACAACTCAGTGAGGTAGGGACCTTTCTCCTCACTCTGTAAAGGCCCAGGCAGGTTAAACATCCACCCCAAACCACACACTGGGAAGTCACAGGCAAAGTCTCAACAACACACTTGCCTCCCCTCCAAAGCCCAAGCTCTTCTCACCATCATGCTTCTGTGAGCCTGATGGAGGAGGTTCCTGAGGGCAGGCAGAGGAGCCAAGGGCAACCTTTCTCCTCCTTCCCATCTCTTCCCCTCCCAGGGCCCCCAGGGCCCTCTACTCACCCACAGGCAGCACAGGTGCAGGGGCTCCATCCAAGGCAGAGGTGGGCACAGGAGGTGAGAAGCTAGGAGGAGAAGGGGATGGCAGCATCTGGGAATGAGGGGCACACAGAGTTATTCCTGGCACGTGGGAATTGACTCATTCCTCACCAGCATCCCATGAGGTAGGGATTTTTATGATTTCTCATAGAGGTGAGGCTCAGGTTAAGCCATCTATCGAAAAGCATGGAGCCTTTTAGTGGTAGAGCCCCGACTAGAACCCAGCTCTCCTGACTCCCTCTCCTAGGCTCTTCCTGCTGTAACGGTAGGTACCACATATTAAAGGACCTCCTGTGGGTCACTGGGCTAAGGGCTTTACCTCCATATCTCTAGTCACGACAGTTGGGCTGCTGAAGTTGGTATTATGACCCCTGTTCTACATGTAAAGAAATTTGTGCAAGGTTATATCACTGCCCGAGGCAATGCAATACGATCTGAACTCAGATCTATCTAGCACTAAAATAGGACCACCACACTCTTATGAAGACTGCCTGAGTTTCCCTCTTCTCTGCCCAGCCAAAGGAGATTGGGAGGTCCAAGCCAATATAGGAAGTAAATCGGGAGAAGGAAAGGGGCATTAAGATGAATATGGGGCCTCATTGGAGTGGAAGGCTCAACCTAGAGGTGCCTGGGGACCCAGGGAGAAGGAAGCCTCACCTGTTCCGGGTCTGAGAGTTCAGGCGGTGCTGGGGGGCCAAGCAGCTCCTCCACTAGCAGGGAGGGGAAAACCCCCACATGGCCCCCGAATTCTCCCCTCCAGAAGCCATCATCCACTCCATCCTGGGCCCGGGGCAGCAGGCGGATAAGCGCCCCCTCGGGGAAGCTCAGCTCCTCTGCACTCTGTCCTGTGTAGCTGTATAGAGCACGGGCCAGGAAGGCTGCAGAAGCCCAGGAGAGGTGGTGAGGGGAGTTGATGGGCAGCAGTGCCCCGGGGCCACGACACCTCAGGGCCACAACTACTCAAGGTCCCCTGACCCAGAATTTCCCATTCTCACCTGTGGGCTCTGCCCCTGAGGGATTGTCGCTGTCGTGGCCACTCTCAGGGAAGGAGAGGTCCGGGAAGTTGAGATACCGCTCAGGGACAAAGCCTGCCTCGCCGTGCTGGTTTCGAGCCTGTTCACCCAGCAACGTGAACAGATAGCAGACTTGCCTCAGCAGCCCGTGGCCCTAGCCCTCCTCCTCGGGCTTCTAGCTTTGTCTGGCTGGGTCCTTGCAAGCCACAGAGAAGTCCTTCCCATTGCTGTGCCCCCTGCCCACCACCAAGGTCAGAATCTAAGGTCCATACCCACCTTGACCCATTCATCAGCATCTCCCTCTTCTATGACCTCCAGCCACTCGCCCTCTGTGATGGTCAGCTCATCCTCATGCCCTGCCTGGGCCCCACAAGGAAGGATTCAGGACATGGCTGTCGCCCATCCCCACCTAGGAGATCCCCACCCCCATGCCCACCTGATACCTGATAGCTGAACACCACATGTGCGGGGCAGGGGAGGGGCCTAGTGGTCAAGGCTGCTGGGGCAGGCTCCTCAAAGAGCTCCCCTGTCTCCTCACATTCCTCAAAGTCAGAGAGCTCAGCATCCTCAGCCTGGAGGGGATAGAGAACAGACATCATTGGGGGGGCCCACTCTCAAGTACCCATTTTATCTCCCACGCCTCCATTCTACTCTTAAAGAACACCGATAGATCACTCCCCAAGGTGGTACCACCCATCTGTCCACCATGTATCACAAACAAAATCACCACAGAGCAGGGTAACGCCAACAACAATCGCAGAATTACAATACTGAGTGCTTACTCTGTGCCAGGTATGACGCTAAACATCTTATGTATAGCACCTCATTTAATCTTCACAATAACCCAGTGATATTTTACATAAGTGTATCACCTGTTTTACCTATTTTTTTTTTATGTTTTAAAAAGACTTTATTTAATTGAGAGCAAGAGCACGCCCATCCATGTGTGCACACACTGGAGAAGGAGAGAAACAAGCAGACTCTGTGCTGAGCATGGAGCCTGATATGGGGCTCGATTGCACGACCCTGAGATCATGACCTGAGTCAAAACCAAGAGTCAGATGCTGACTGACTGAGCCACCCAGGCGCCCCCACCTCATTTTACTTAGGAGAAAACCGAGGCTCAGAAAGGTCAAGCCACTTTGCAAGATCACACAGCTAGTAGTAAGTGGAGTGGCCGGCACTTGAACCACGTAGAATCCATACTTTGAGCTTTAATTCATAATTGTCATCCTATATTCATGATAAAAGTTCACTGAGAACTGTGTTACAAACTATGCAAGAAAATTATACATATTTCATTCCAGCCTCACAACAACCTCTTCGACTTCGGTACTGTTAGGATCCCCATTTTATAGAGTCTGCCCTACTCTGGGGAGATCTACCCTTTACCGTCCTGGGTGTACAGGGGTAGGGAGCAAAGGGCACTCACCGTGGGAGAGAGGTCCCTCTGGGACAGCCGGGCCTCACTGAGCCGTCGCTCCTGCTCCACCTCATCCTGGGCCTGGGTCATGGCTGGCTTCAGCCAGCGCTGCACATCGAGGCCAGCCCCTCGTAGCAGGGCCAGCCGGGCAGCCCCCTTCACCTGGCTCACCTGTCATGGGGAAGAGAGATCAATCAAGGCTATGGACGGGCCTGCCTCTGGGCGGTGAATGGAACCACCCCAAACATGTCCACCTTCTACCTCCTGCCTCCCTGCTCCCCACCAGGCAGATAGAGAGGAGGAGGGTGTTGCATGAGGAGCTGGGATCTCAGGGGTCCCAGGCACAGGGCTACGCCTCACCTGTGCCCGCCGGATGCTCTCCCTCACTTCCTGCAGCCGCTGATCTATACCTGGAGCCTCCCGCTCTGGAGCCTGCTGTCGCCTCTGCTCCAGCCGCTGCAGCACCTGGTTGCAAAGGCGGAGCACAGAGGTGGGTAGAAATACTCTGTGGGACAACGGACTATGGACCTGGCACTTTGCTGTTGGCTTCACGTGCATTAAGTCACTTAATCTTCCTCATGCAGCGGGTACTATTATTGGCCCCACTTTAATGATAAGGAAACTGAAGTCCAGAGAGGTTAAGTCACTCCCTTACTTGGGGTTACATAACGAGGAAAGAACAGAGCAGGATCTGAACCCAGGTGGGTCTAGCTCCCAAAGCTGTGCTCTTAAATACTGTACCACACTATTGGCCTAAAATACCTTTCCTTCCCCTCCTGCCTGCAGCCCTATGACATCCCCCACTGACTGCAGGGTCCTCATCTCTCAGCTCTTCCCGCCCACCCACAACACCTGCACCCCCCACCTCACCCGATGCCCATGGTTCTGGATCTTGTAGTCTCGGGCAGCTCGGCTCGTCCAGCGCTGAACCTCTTTCTCCAGGCTATGGTCCCCTGCCATGCCTCCTGCATCCTCCTCCAGCTCCAGGGCACACACCTCAATGAACAATGTACACAGATGCTCAGAGGAGGACCTGCTGTTGCCCCCGCTCTACAGTCTCTTCCTTTTTCCTTCTCTCCATCCTAACCTCCAGGGACAGGGACAAAGAGGTGAGGACACAGGTGTGCATTCCTGTGGACACACAGAGAGTCCCCAAAATGGGATCTGGGTTGAGGGACAGAGGGAGAAGGAAGAGGATAGTGTAGTGAAGGGCCAGAAAGGTGGAATAAAATTTGTTTGTGTGCTGGTGGGAGGGAGATGAACTAGAGTTCTGAAACCCCTTCTCCACAGTTGAACAGTCATCAACCAGGACAAGGATGATGAGGGAGAAGGCCTAAACCACAGTCCCCTTTACATGTAGTTTGGTTCCAATGAACAGAAAAGTCTCACCTGATCAGTCCCTGCAGGCTGAAACTCCTGAGGCGGTGTAGGGGAAAATACTCCAGGCTCCTGAAGAAAGAGCTTCAGATCCTGCTCCCAGCTTACCTGGGGGTTGGAAAAGGTCGAAGTAGTCACTCACTGGTTACCACTCCAAGCCTGTCCCCAGCCCCTCTTGGAAGAAGAAGGATGGGTGAGAATAAAAGGGGCAGACATGCAGTGGGTGGTCTGTACTGAAAGAGCAGGGTGAAGAGGATCTCTGGGGAGCTTTTATAGGGCACAGCCCTCACCTGGGAGGTTGCCTGCCCTCCACGGCGGGCATGCTCCAGGGCCATCTCTGCAGCTTCCAGCTCAGTGCGGCTTAGGAAGGTCAGGGGGTCCCTCAAGTGTTCCAACAGCTCGCTGACCAGGGCCTGGAAAGAACCCCAAGATAATGACACCACCCTTCCCCCAGCATCTACTGCAAAGTAGGCTCTCTGCCCAGGTTTAGATGGGTGATGGGCATGAGGAATTGGATTGAGGGAAGGAATAAGACAGTTAACTGCTTCTAATAATAGGCCCTCATGTATGCATAGACCTTAACAGTTTAAAAAGCATTTTCACATCCATTCTTTCCCCGGAGCCCCATTAGTCCTATAAAGTAGGCAGAGCAGAAGTTGTCCCTAATGAGGCAACTAGGCGTTCAGAGGGGCTAAGTGTCCTGTACAATGTCATGCAGCCAGCTAGAAGCAGAGCCCAAACCAGAACCAAAGGATGTAACTTCTACCCACTCAAAGCAGGCTGGGTCCCTAGCCCCACCCAGCCTGACAGTGGTAGGAAGCAAGGAGAGGCTCTCCCACAAGGCAGAGGCAGGAGAGGCAGGGGTATCTGGGCTGGGACTGGCCTTGAGCAGGGCTGGCAATTCCTCCTGGTAGTAGTGGTCAAGGTGGGCATTGGTGGCCACCAAGTTGAGCAGGTACTCATTGCGGGCTGCTCTCAGCTGCTGCGAGTACTGGGCTGACTGGGCAGACAGCTAGGAGGAGAAAACAGGTGTCAGCAGGGAGCCCTGGACCCATGGGGTCCTTCTAAGGCCAATCCAGATCCAGAATGGATTCTCACATTATTGAGTGCTTACTATGCACCTGGCACTAGACAAAAAATTTTGCATACTCGACAACTCCTGCTCAAAATGCTCGAGTGGCATCTATGTCCATTTAAAACAAACTCCCCACTGCTCCTTACTGTGGCTTGCCAGGTGCAAAAAGAGCTGGCCCCTGCAACCTCTCTGACCTCTTTTCACAGTGCCTGTCCCCTTGCTCAGAGTGCTCCAGCCACACTGGCCTTCTTTCAGTTCCTCGAGCCCACAAAGCTATTCCCACCTGGGAACCTCTGCACTCACCATGTCCTCTCCCTGGAATGTTCTTCCCCTAGATCTCTGCATGGCTGAACACATTCAGGCCATGTGTTCAGACAGCCTTTCTCTCTAAATTACATCCTGTTACCCTTTACCATAGCACCTTGTTTTGTTTTCACTTAATCTGCTTGTTTCTTTACTTACTATCTGTCTGCCTCCCACCAGCCTCTGAAGGTAGGAACTCCACAGACTCCTCAATAAATGCATAGCAAAGGAATAAAAAATAAATGTACTATTTCCACATTCCAGATGAAGAACACAAGACTCCAAGAGATCAAGTTAACCAAGGGCAAACACTGAGGATGTAGCGGAGCCTGGATTCGTCCCAGTCTCTCAGATTTATGCCCCTGGGTTCCAAACCACTAGACTACTCTGCCCACCTCTTTCCCGCCTCCACTCATGTCCACATCCCCCCAAACCTTGGTGCTGAGTTTCTGGAGACTAGTCCGAGTGTGGAAGAGCCCATGGTCACTTCGGTTCAATCTGTGCAGGAAAGGGAGAAGAGTCAAGGTCAGGCCCAGCTGTGGTGCCTTGGCTCCCTTCCCCCAGCCAGGTTTCCCAACTCCCCATGAACCCACCTAGACTGGACATCAGCCGCCTTCTCCTGTGCCAAGGCCCACACACGTTCTCGCTGGCCGTATAGCTTCCGACTTCGGCTCAGCTCACGGATAGACTGCAGCACCTCAGCTTGCGCCCTCTGGAGGTTCTCTGCTCCCTAGGGGCATGGACACACACAGTCCTGACCCAGACCACTTCCAACCCCACGCCAGCCCTTCCTTCAGCCCATCCACTGCGCCATACCTTCCTGAGCACCTGCTCCTTGGCACTCCGCCCTGTTCCCCCTGCCAGGTCACGGTATCGGTCAGACGCCTGAAGCCGGGCTTGGCCCCCAGCCACGGTGGCATCCAGCAGGCAGCGCCAGGCACCAAACACCATCCTGCCTCTCCCCAGAGAAGGTCTGTGTTGAGGAGGAGAGCACTCCAAAGCTTCATGAGAGCCCCCCCCACCACCACCAAACCGAACACCATAGGAGACAGAGTGCTTTCCCATCCCCCTTGTCTGGGAGCCTATAATCGATCAGTGCATTAGCTCAGCCACAAGGATCACTCATGCCCTCCGCCTGCACCCACAGTGTCCTTGCTGGGTCAGCTCCTCTCTGGCTGCTGTGTCAGCTCTACCTGAAGCTCACATGCCCTCCCCCCTCACTAGCCCTTCACTCCCATAGGTTCCTGAGTTTGAGCTCCTCATCCCTTCTAGGGCCCCTGAACTCCCCCCTCGATGGGACCCACCTGCTGTCCATCTCCCCACTCCGGTGACCTTCCCTCTTCAGGAATGGCCCAGCCAGTTTCTGGAGTGCCTGGTGGGAAAGCCATCACAGACTCAGTTACCTTTCAAAGACTCTCACCAACTGGGAGAATATGAAATCAGAGTATAATAATGCCATTCACCAGATGCATATTATGTGCTAAGTGATTTACATGCATTAACCTATTCCATCCTTACAACAACCCTGCACGAAGATATATTATTCCATTCTACAGAGAAAGAAATTGAGGCCAAGAAAGGCTAAGCACCTTGTCCAAGGTCACACAGGCAACAAGTAGCACGAGAGATCTGACACCAGTCTGCCTAATTTTAGGCCATTGCTCTGGACCAGAAGAGGAGTATGTGCAGAGAGACAATGCTATGTGTAAAGGAGGCTACAACAAAAGGGAAAATCCAGAAAAAGGAGTCCCATACCTGTCCATATTCCCGTTCAATGGTTGCCCTCTGCTTGCTGTAGGACCTATGAAGATTAGAGGGGAAGAGTGGTGTCACTGTCTAGTCCTGTTCTCCCACCCTCAATCCTCTCCTCAGCCTGGGCAGGAAGAAGAGGGGAGCCAGGCCTAAAGTGTGAGTACACCAGGATGGAATGAGACTGAAGAGAGAGTCCTTGAGATCACCTCAGGCAGCCGCAACCCAGAACAACCTCACCTCATTGTTCCGAGCCTCGGCAGGATCCTCCCCACCCCTGGAGAACCGTCTCCGGGCTTGGAGGTGAGGACGGATGGGGGCCTGGATACGTTCCAGCCTTCCAACAGGTATGGAAGAGGGAGGGGAGATTCTGCCCCAAGCTTGATTGTGGGGCGGACGGAGTGGTGTGGAGTCAGTGGGTTTGAGAGAGGGTCCCTGTGTGTTTCTGTGTGTTGGGTTAGGAGGAAGAGTAAGTCCTATCCGGTATCTGGAGAGACAGGCCGACAGTGAGGGCCGGGAATGGGCAGGTTGGAGAACTCTTCACCCCCTGCTTTCCCCTCCCCCGTCCGGCTCCCACCGACATCTGTTCGAGAAGAGGCGGGGCGCGCAACAGCGAAGGTGGGGGTATGTGGCGGAGATCAGAAGCTACCTGATGTCCTCCAGCAGATCCGCCTCCCTCTGCTGCCGGGTCTGAAGGATGCTCAGCTGCTCCAGGAAGCGAAGCTTGACCTCCTGGGCCGGCTTCACCTGTGAAGGTTAGAAGAGGTTGAAGACCCCTGGCGCCGGGACCTGAAAAACACTCCGCGCAGGGAGCGGTGAGGGGGCGGGACCGGGGAGGGACTGGGGTGTTTCCTGGGTTACTTCAGGGTTAGGCCCTGAACCTTTACAACTCCTCGCCCCCCACTGCGGGTCCATTGCCCCCCTCAACTCCCACCATTCCCCCAGCCCACCAGGAGTCCCGATTCCCAGGACCAGCTCACTTTTCGGGGCGGCGGCTGCATCTCCACTCCGGCCAAGGGAAGCCACTCGACTCCGGAACTCGAGAACGCCCCGCCCACGCCAGAGCCCCGCCCCGGACCCGGCCCGGCTCCGCCTCCGTCCCGCCCACGCCTGGTCCGGCTACGCGCAGGGCTGCTAAGCGCGAAGGTGCCGCTGAGAAAGCAAAGAAACTCCTGTTAGTGCTGCGAATACCCCGGAAAGGGTCCCGACCGCCGAGTGGACGCGGCGTCCGCTGCGCGGTAGGGGAACCCCAAGTTTCTGAGTCAAGACGCCTGGATTCTATTTCTAGTGGAGCCACTGACTCAGCCCGTAATTACTACTAATCACTCATTTACATATGCAGATCTCTGGTCGTCCGGTCCTCCCTCCAGCGCGAAGCGTGACGCTTGGCGAGGAGGGACTCAATTTGTGACCAATTTGTCACTGGATGCCTGAGCAAAGATGCTTCTGACAAGGGAAACAGGGCTGGTCTCAGACCTTTCCCAAATTCCCCCAGAACTGGAAAAACCAGTGAGTGGTGCTGAGACGATTGCCCGGAGCCAGGAGGAAACCAGTCCCAGGGGAAGACAGGTATGTCATGGGCCAATGGAAACTAAATGATACTAGTGAGTGGACGTATGTGGGGAGATGGGTGTAGGGCCTTGCGTCCCAGGAAGCCCCTGTCACCATTAGGGTCTGCCTTTCAGGCTCTGCGCCCCAGCCCTATCACTGCTTTCTGAGAATCCCCACGCCCTTTCTTCATCCCCCTCACCTATCCTTGGCCCACACCCCTGACTTGGAAAAAAGCAGTCATCTGTGGCTCCAGACTCCAGATTCACATTTCCAACGGCCCATTGACACCCATTTGTAGATCTAACAGGTACCTCAAACTTTTAAAACCGCTTGTCTACCTGATCCTTCCCCAGACAATATACCAAATGGCACCTCTCTCCATCCAGTTAGGAAAGTCTGAAACCCAGAGTCACTGTGCCCTTTCTCCTACCCCACATTCCGTCCATCAGCAAGTCCTGTAGGTTTTATTTCTAAAAGATCTCATATTAATCACCTTCCTTCAATTTCCAAAACCACCAACCTAGTCCAAGCCCCAGTATCAGTCCCCTGTCTAATATCTGGTCTCTCACTCTTCCCCCCCATAACCCACTGCTCACAAAGCAGCCAGAGTGATTGATGTTTTTTTAAGACTTTTTTTTTTTTCATTTGAGAGGGAGAGAGGGAGCAAGTGAGAGCACAAGAGCAGGCAGAGGGAGAAGCAGGCTCTCGGCTGAGCAGGGAGCCCGATGCAGGACTCGATCCCAGGACGCTGAGATCATGACCCAAGCTGAAGGCAGAAGCTTAACGGGACTGAGCCACCCAGACACCCCCCCCCCTTTTTTAAAGATTTTTGTTTGTCTGTTTGTTTTTAAAAAGTAAATAAGATCTCATCACTCTCTCCCTTCAAACTTCTCGATTGCTTCAGAATAAAATCCAAACACCCTAGCATGGCCTATAAGGCTGTGCATTATTGGCCCCTGCCAGTCTTTCCCCTTTTAGCCCATACTCTTCTCTGACTCCCCACTCGCTATGCTTCAGCCACTCCAGCCTCCTTTCTGTTTCCCCAACAGGCCAAGTCTCTTCCCACTGCAGAGCCTTCATGCTTGAGGCTTTCCCTCTTCTTCTGGAGTGCTCCTTCTCCCAGCACTCCACATGTCTGGCTTCTTTAACTCTTCACAGAGGCCTTCCCAGCCTAAAGGCCACCTCCACAAGCACATCATTTTGGTTTGATTTCTTCACGGCACTGAATTAATTTGTGTATTTTCTGTCTTCTGTTCCCCCTCTACAGTGGAATCTCCATAAAAGCAGGACCCATCTATTTTTTTTTAAGATTTTAAGATTTTAAGATTTGTTTATTTGACAGAGAGAGCACGAGAGAGCACAAGCAGGGGGAGCAGCAGAGGGAGAGGGAGAAGCAAGGAGCCCAATGTGGGGCTGCAGGGCTCAATCCCAGGACCTTGTGATCATGATTTGAGCCAAAGGCTTAACCGACTGAGCCACCCAGGCCCCCCAGGACCCATCTATTTTGTTCAAACTTCATCCTGAATACCTGAGACCTAATTAGGTATTCAATACATATTTGTTAAATGAATGAATGAAACAATAATAGCTTTTTGGTTCCAAGATTTATTAACAGTGACACATCCTTTTTGGCCCCTCTTTGCCCCAGCTCCCAACCCCAATCAACCTCCACACTCTAGGTCTTCAGTGTAGTCCCCAAATGTAGGAGGTGGGGTAGGATAGACTTGGAGATCATTTAGCTCTCTGGCTTCCAAATCTTTTTTTTTTTTTTCTTTAATGCTGTAAGACCATTCCTTTCAAACACAAAATCTCTCACAGAACTCCTACATATCAAATATATAAAGTAGGAGTTACTCTTGTTGAGGGAAATTATGTGGGGCTTACAGCTCTAAGACACACTTTGGTGTTTCACTGGCTCCTTATTTCAGTGACTTCATGGTACATGTAAGTGAGTGGAGGTTCAGTGAGGGGCCATAATCTGACCCTCTCTGGGCAGGAGAGTCCAGAGCCCTCAGTCCTGTGCTCTTTCCATAGCACCACACTGGATTCTAGAGTCTTTCCAGCCAGAGCAGAGGAGGCTCCCAGCAGTGTCTGCCATGGTGAGAGCTTGGGTCCTCTGGTTACCTCCCCCTTCAGACTACTCATCTTAGGGTCATGTGAGCGGCTGGCTGGAGGGTGAACTGGACGTTTGGGTGGGAAAGCCAGGAGTCTGTGCCAGAAGGCCATTGGGGTTTGGGGACTGGGGGCTGGAGGGCTGGGAGGGGCTGCCCAGGCCTATGGTGGTTTCTCCCTTCCTCAGGATGAGGCTGCTAAGCTCCTGGAGCAGCTGCTCCTCCAGGGACCCATGTGCCTGGGGGCTGTTCTTTGAAGGGGGGCCAGGAGGGGGCTCAGGTGGCCTCTCCTCTGGGCCCGGGCCACCTGCCTTGGGAAAAAGGGGTTTGTCGAAGGACCTCTGGCTGGTGAGGGGGGTCTCCGGGTTGGCTGTCTTTTCTCTTATTGTGGAGAAGGGGGTAGAGATGTCCTTGGTCAGCTCGGGGAAGGCCCCCACTTCTTCATACACTGGCTCCTCATAGACAGGCTCCTCTGGTTCCTCTTGCTCCTCCACAGACCCCTGGGATGACTTCATTGGCTGGATGGGAATGGGTAGCATGATGCAGGCACAAAGTTAGAGTTACTGGATTGCTAATCGCTAACGTTTATTGAGCTCTTCCTCTGGGCCAGATGCTGTAAAATACTTTTCATGTATGATATCAAAACAACTCTGTGTGATGGGTTACACTGCAGGTGAGTGAAGCGAGGTGCAGAGGGGTTAAGTAAGTTGCCCAAGATCACACAGTGAGTAAATGGTAGAACTGGGGCTTCAGCCCAGGTCTATCTGACTCCAAAATGCGTTCACTTAACCACTTTCCTTCTATTTCTCAGATCTTATGACCACTTTCCCTTTTCCTTATCATATCCTACCATGCCTCATTTTCCTCATTCCTTCTCACCCCTCACAATACTCTCTCTCTCTCTCTCTCTCTCTCACACACACACACACACACACACACAGATGGCCTGCTGCAGAACAAATACAGAGGGCACATGGGTTCAGGCAGCACAGAGGAACACAGGCCTGGTGGCACAAAGCTGAGACAGGTACAGTACTCACAAAGAACATGGACAGGGTCCTCCGGTTGTGAAGCCGCCGCTGGGCACAGGTGGGATGGGGATGAGGGGAGGGAGAGACACAGAGACACAGTGAGGCCTGGCAACAGAAGGCAGGGGTGGGGAGTGGGGGCACAGAGAAGGCAGAGGGGGGCACCAGGCTGGCAGGCACACCACTCCCACCTGCAGGGTGACAAGGACATGGGCAGGATTCAGGAGGGCACAGCAGCAGGCCGGGGGCAGGGGGGAGAGCCTCACCAGGGTCTGATTGGCAGAGAGGAGGGTGGCCCCACTGTCATCTCCTCTGATGGGCAGCAAAGGCATGGTGCCAAACTTCTGACGGGCAAGGTCAGAGGAGGAATGGCGTCGTAAGACCACTGGCTGCTGGTCATCATGCTGGCGGGAGAGTAAGGAGTTGGCACAGTGGACGTGGGACTACAGCTGGGACCTCTGACCTCATCCTCAGCTTTTTCCTTCCCCTCACCTGGGCTTTGAGGATGCTGGTGGTCCAGTCCCACATCTCATCCTCGTCAGTGCAGGACAGGTAGCTGGGGGTATCAGAGGGGAATTAGCCAGAGAGGAGGGGTTGTCGCTATAGGGATGGAGGATAGAAAAAGTAGGGAGGTAGAGGACAGGGTGCAGGGCTGGGCCAGAGAAGCCAGGCCGAGAGGTACTCACAGGTGCATCTTCTCCAGTATCAATGTGAAGCCCCACCTAGGAGGCAAAGGAGAACAGAGATGGGTGATTAGAAAGGCTGGAGGGGTGATGGCAGGAAGGCCCTAGAAATGTGGGCTGGGGGAGAAAACTCACGGTGTTGGAGGCTTTAACTTCTTTCGGATTCCCAGGTAGACCTTGGAACCTTCCAAAGGCCACTCTCGTTCTGGTTTAGAGCTCTGAGAACAAGAAGGCAGTCAGTGAGGTCAAGAGGTGAGAGAAGGATCACAGTCAGGTCAAGAGGTCATGGAAGCGCTAGGTTATGTGATGACAGGGTCACAGAGGTCAAAGGACCAGGGCAGCCCTGAGATCGAGAAGCACATGGGCTGTGGGGTGTGAAGGTTGGTGCATTCATAGCTGCTCCCCCGGGGCCGCCAGCATCTGCCCCCCCCCCCCCCCCCCCCCAGCATCTCACCTTCTTTTCCTTGAGCAGCAGCAAGCAGCGCCCACGCAGCAGAAAGAACCTCTCCTGGAAGCGGTTTCCCAGTAAGCGGGGCGGCTCCTCCCGACACCGCAACAGACCCACCCTTGGGCTCTCACGCCGGATACCTGGGCACAAACAGGCAACACTGGGTGGCAGGTCCTGGGGCGTAGGCCTGGGCATGGGGGTGCTGGGCTGAAGAAGGAGGTTCACCTGTGAAGAGGCAGCCGGCCTGGGCCAGGGAGACTTTTCTCAAGAGCAAGGAGGCCGAGCAGGGCTCTGGAAGCTGGCACCATTGAAGGGCCTGCTCGAGGACCCTTTCCTTGGGGTGCAGTGGCCGCTCTAAGGAGTAAAGTAGGGGTGCTATCAACCAGAATATCCATCCACACCCTGGAGCCTCCAGCTCCTTTCCCACCAGCCACATTCGTTTGTCCATTCCACAGCCCAGCCACAGGTATTTATCTAAAGACCAACTCTATTCCGGGCATTGCTGGCCCTGGGGATATGATGGTGAGCACGAAAACCCATGGCCTACCTTCACAAAGCCCACAGCAAAGTGAGGGAGTAGACAGTACACAGGTAAGTAAACCAAAGAATTGCAGGGAATTAAATGCTTTGAAAGAAACAGTAAGAAGCTGAGAGAGAGTAGGAGGGCAACTACTGGGGCAGAGTGATGACTGGGCAAGGTTTTTGAGAAGGGGGCATTTGAAGCTGAAATTGGGGCCTGGAGGAGGAAGAAGAACAAGCCATGCTAAGATCGGGGGAAGAAGATTTCAGGCATGACCCAACGCAGGAATAAAGGCCCTGAGTCAAGAAAGATGTGTTTGAAAAACAGCTGACATGGCTCAAGCACAGAGAATGAGTTATGTGAGATGAGGTCCAAGAAATAGGCAAGGGCCAGACATTCGGGGTCTGTGAGCCATAATAAGGAATTTGAATTTTATTTGAAATTCGATGGGAAGCCATTGGAAGGTAATGGCATGATCTGATTTATGTCTGAAATGCGCGTTGACTGTTGTGTGGAAAATGGAATGTCGGGAGGCAAGAAGGGAACACTGGCCAGCTATTCCTTTTCTGGGGCTGCACATTTTAGTGGTTAATGTTGGGTGCAGAAAGATAGCGGTGACTTCGATCTGGGTGATGGGAATGGTGGAAATGGGGAGAAGCTACAGATTCTAATAGAATCAACAGGACCTCTTGGTTGGGTTAGGTGTGAAGTGGAAGGAAAGGAGCACTCTCAGGTTTTTGGTCTTGATAACTGGGTGAATGGAGGGGCCACCGACTGAGTTAGGGAAAACTGGAAAATGGCCTAGGCTTTTTGTTAGGCGAAAGGTCTGGAAATTGAATTCAGTGTTGCATATTTTAAATTAGAGATGCTTGGGGTGCCTGCGTGGCTCAGTCGGTTAAGCGTCCGACTCTCTATTTCGGCCCAGGTCATGATCTCAGGGTCGTGAGATTGAGCCCCGCATCAGGCTCCACACCCAGTGGAGCCTGCTTAGGATTCTTTCTCTCCCTTTGCCCCTCCCCCAATAAAAAATAATAATAAAAGTAAATTAGAGATGCTTGTGAGACATGCAAGTGGAGATGTGCAGTAGACAGCTGGATATGTGAGTCTGGGGCTTGGAGGAGAGGTCAGGGCCAGAGACCCAGCTTATTAATAGCATTTAAAGCCATTGGAGTGGATGAGTCATCCAAGGAGAAATGTAGATAGAGAAAGGAAAAGCGTCCGGGGTTGAACTCTGGGTCCTTCCAATATTTGGAATATAGGCAAAGGAGGAAGAAAAGCCTTCTTTGGGGAGGAAGGGAAACCAAGGATTTGTGGGGTCCACAAAAGTCAAGAAAGAAGAGAGTACTGAGAAAGAGGGAGTGGTCAACAGTGTAGACTGTCCCTTCACATGCACGAGGACAGTGTCACTGTATCTGGTAACACAGAAAACATTGGTGACTTTGACTCCCCCTATCACATGTGAATGCACACACACGTGGTCATGCTCACCAAGTTCCCCGTGCTCACGAATCTCAAATGTCACCCACAAGTCCATCCCAGCCTCTGTCCCCCTCATCTCCAATACCTGGTTAGTCAGCTCCTCAGCAGTCAGTGTCGGAGACACCTGGGGTCAGGGCAAGAGCAGAGGACCCATGCTGGTCAGTCCACTAACCCTGCCCCCCATCCTCTCATCTCCCCTCCAGTCCCCTCAGGACTGACCTTTAGGGTGACACAGTTGTCTGGGAGCTGCTGTTCTATATAAACCTCCATGATGAGGTCTCCAGCCTGGGACAGCTGAGGGGAAGGGGTAAAGAAGTCAGGAGGACACAAGAGGATGCAAAAAATCAAGGTCAGAGGACTCCTTATGTTGCCTGCTAAACACTCCCCCCCTCCATAAAAGTCTCCTCCTACCCCCATCCCCAATGTGGCTCAGGCCCTTAAAAGCGAGAATCCCAGGAGAGGTGGAACTGCATCTTCAGGCTGCATGAGTGCTTCCCAAGGCAGTGCAGCATATGCTTGGAAGGACAGGTTTAAGGTCAGATTCTCTGGGTTCCAACTCTGCCACTCGCTACAGTAGGACTTTGAATAAGTGACCCTCAAGGCCTCTGATTCTTTATTTGAAAAAACGGAATTGTCTACCTCATGGAGTTGTGTGACACTAAAGTAAGATCATAGGTGCTTGGAAGATAAGTCCTTAGCTGTTTGCTATCGTATTTATTGCTATTATTCTCACTGCTTTGTCTACCTTAGCTAACTCTTCCTTTAACCCAAGTATTCTACCGTCATTTTGTAATGAAGAATCCTCGTGGTGGAATAAATAGAGCAAATCCTAAACCAAACCCCTCTTCCCAAAGCACTCCCCTCCTTGGGTTTCCCCTGTGTCTCAGAAAGCTGAGGGCCATTGTCCAGCAGCAGAAGGGCACCTTCCTATCTTGATGTCCCCTCCTGGCCTACTCAAGAGTCTAAGGTCAGAACAGGTTACCTGTACATCCTTCCAGGTGGTGATAAGACTGACCTCCAAGTCAATCTGAGCTACCTGGTCAGAGTCAATCTGTGGAAGAGCCCAAAAGGAGCATGTGTATTGTGGGGCAGGTGGGGGGTGGGGTGGGGAGGGGAGGGCAAGGGAGGGTGTGGGGGGAGGGGTGCTAGGAAAAGAGAGAAACAGGAAGAGTTTGCAAGACCAGAAGACCTGTATGAGAGCATGAGAGGCGAGAAGAGCTAAGAACCAAGGGGGCATGGGCATTTGGAGTGAGGTTATGGGATAGAGGGGCCCAGGGCTATGGGAGGTGATTCTTGGTGCAGAGGGCCTTAGAGGTCTGGGCTGGGGGCTTTTGGCGGGGAGCAGGATCCAGAATCCAGGAAGAGGGACTACAGTCAGGGTTGGGGAGAGCTTACATCAAAGACAGAGACGTAGCCATCGATGAGCTCCTGCAGCACCCGCACCTCATGTTCCCCCCGCCCATCCGTCTGGAACACGCTGGGTGCGAACAGCAGGGCCAGGTTCCGCGTGCACATCTGGTTTAGAGCGGCACACTTTTGTACCCTGCAGAGGGGTGTGACACGGGTCATGCGGGATGCAGCTTGTGCTCACCTACTGGTTGATGCGTCCATTCATTCAGGAAATACTTATTGAGTCAGTATGCCAGGCCCTGGGCTAAGCACTTGGGATACAGTTGTAAGACACAACACTGGCCTGAAGGAGCTCCCAGTCTAGGGGAGAGACAGATGAGGAATGGGTGATTGTAAATATAGCATGGGGCGGCAAGCTTTTTATGGAAAGGGACGACAGTAAATATTTTAGGCTTGTAGGTCATAGATTCTTTGTTGCAATTCACCAGTTCTACTGTTGTAGTATGACAGAAGCCATAGACACTGTATTCGTGAATGGGTGTGCCTTTACACTTCATGTAGAAACCTTTATTTATTTATTTATTTTAAAGATTTGTTTATTTATTTGAGAGAGAGAGAGAAAGCGCAAGTGTACGGGGGGGAGGGGCAGAAGGAGAGAGAGAGAATCTCAAGCCAACTCCCTTCTGAGCAGGGAGCCTGATGTAGGGCTCGATCTCATGACCCTGGGATCATGACCTGAGCCAAAATCAAGAGTCAGATGCTTAACCGACTGAGCCACCCAGACACCCCTGTACAAAACTTTACGTAGGGACGCGTGGGTGGCTCAGTTGGTTAAGCACCTGCCTTCGGCTCAGGTCATGATCCCAGGGTCCTGGGATCGAGTCCCGCATCGGGCTCCCTGTCCAGCAGGGAGCCTGCTTCTCCCTCTGCCTGCCGCTCACCCTGCTTATGCGTGCTCTCTCTCTGACAAATAAATAAATAAAATCTTTAAAAAAACCAAACACAACAAAACTTTACTTAGAAAAACAGACAATTGGATGGATTTGGCCCATGGGCCATAGTTGGCCCATCCTTGTGATATAGAGTAATCAGTACAACACAGCCAGGGTTCACCTTGGAATCATTTAAAGACCTGTCTCCCCAATAGGCTGATCAAGGTAGATCTGCATCTTATTCTTCTTTGTGTCTCCTACATCTAACCCTTTGCCTGGCATAGAATAATAAAACAAAATAACAATGATTGCTCACCATATCTGAATGTTTACTACCTACATGCCAAGAGATGTGGTAAGAATTTTATAGGGATTATCTCATTTAACTCTCATCACCTAGGAGGTGGATACTATTCATTACACCATCTTCCTTTTACAAATGAGGAAACTGAGGCTCAGAGAGTGCAAATAACTTACCCAAAGTCACATACTAGAATGGTAGAGCCAGAGTGAAGCCTAGGTCTGCCTGACCCCAGAGTCCACACTCAGAACGTTTGTGCTATGACACTTTCACTTAACAACTGTTTGCAGGATGAATGAATAAATGTGAGGTGGCGGGGATGGGGTGTGTGGGGAGTTGGACAGAGGTGACAAAGGGTCAGTGAGGAGCCTGCAGGGGTTCTGGCCCTACTGACCGATAGAGGTGCCCGATGAGGGTAGCCAATGTGCGGCGGTTGACCTGTGGCAAGCAGCCAATCACTTCTTTGTATTTCTCCAGGCGCTGATTCTTCTGGGGTAGCTCTGGGATGGAATGGGGGAGGGGTGGAGAGGATCAGGGAAGGGAGCAAGGAGGGATTTTTAGAGAAACAAACCCAGGATGGATGTCTCTCTGCCCCCTTCCCACCTTGACCTAAGCTGAGTCCCGGAGTGATCCTGGGGTGTGGGGGTGGGGGGAGGGGAGGACTGGGGAGGAGAGCTGTCAAATCCCACAAAACAGCCTCAGGGATTGGGGGGAAGGTGGAGTTCCAGGTTGCCTCTTGGTTGCCTGTGAGGAGTTCTTAGGGATCTTGGGAGTACCAGCAGCCTCCCTCCAGCGAGGCAACAACCGTGCAGAGGTCACAGGGTCATCAAGCTCTCGAAAGAAGCGTTTGAGTGTATCGGTGACGTCTTCCACAAAGTGCTCTCCTGGCCGGAGCTTCACTGACCGGGCATCCCGCCGGAATTCAGCCAGGAGCCGAAGGCTACGGGCACGGGCGCCCCCTTTCCGGTATATGCCCTCCAGCTGGAGCCCTGAGAACAGCCAGCATCTCTGCTCACCACTGAGCATCTCTGCTCACCACTGCCCAGAGACCCAACGACCCACCCAGTAAACAGTATCTGTTACCCCCCCACACACATGCTATATCACTTTTGGGGTAAGGGGGCCAGAGAGGAGGAAGTCTGCTTCCATGGTCTTGATTCTCAAGACCCTGCTCAAGTCCTGCTCAGAAAGTCCTTCCCTAACCATGACATTACACATAGCCTCCATCACTCTCTATCTCCTCACTGTTTTGATTTTGAAATAGCACTCTCAAATTACATTATAGTTGATCCTCCCTATTCACAAATTCCACACTGTGGATTCATCTACTTGCTAAAATTATTTGTAACCCCCAAATCAATACTTGGTGCACTTTTCCAGTCATTTGTGACCATGCGCAGAGTGGAGAAGAATTTGAGTTGCCTGTTGGATGCAGTCCCAGCAAAGCTCTCATATGGTAAACAAGTGTAGTTTTCATGGTATATATAGAACCATGTTTTTTTGCATTCTTGTGCTTTTTTTGGGTAGTTTCACTGTTTAAAATGGCCCCCAAGTGAAGTGCTGAAGAGCTGTCTAGTGTTGCTAACTAAGCGCAGGAAGGCTGTGTGTGCCTTATGGAGAGAACATGTGTGTCAGATAAGCTTTGCCCCTGTATGAGTTACATTGCTGTTGGCTGTGAGTTCAAAGTTAACAGATCACAAATATATGTTAAATAAAGTGTCTTTAAACAGAAACACACTTCAAACAAGGTTACATGTTGATCACTTGATGAGAAGGTGACCAGAAGCTCCCAGGAACCTAACCCTGTATTTCCACTGGGGCAAGGATTTAGGATTCATTAATTCAGTGTTTGCAGTAAGTTCATAGAACAAAACTGCCGTGAATAACAAGAACTGACTGATTTTTCTCATTTATTACCCATCTCTCCCGCTAGTCCCTGAGCTTCATAGAACCTTCCCTCTTCACTGCTATATGTCCAGTGTCTGGCGCACGGGAGCCGCTCAGTAAGCATCTGCTGAATGACGAGTGGCGGTGTGAACACCCATACTCCTTCTCCAGGGCTCTTCCCTGGACCTCTGACTTCATTCCTCCTTTGGACATGAGGGAGACTGAGATGAGGATGGGATCTAGGGAGTGGGGGTAGCCATGGGGAGGATGGGATCTAGGGAGTGGGGGTAGCCATGGCATGAGACTACTACCAAGGTGTGGAGAATGTCACTAGCCACTGACTAACCACTGTCCACGCTGTAAGCACAACTATTTGTAGTTCATGGATGTGCCTTTTTTGCCCTTTACTGCCTTCCTTGGTTTTCCATGAATTTTCCTTCTCAAGAGTCCAGCCTTCTGAAAAGGGGGCTCGCCAAGGAGTTAGATTCTACTTGGTCCTCCCTTGGGCTGGAGAAAAAAAGCAGAGGCCAAAAAGTCACAAAGAATTCTGGGAACCACTTGCACAGCTGATCTTTTATGCCTGGAAAAACTCCTGTACAGAATAATTCTGCTCCACTGAGCATCTCTGCTCACCACTGCCCAGGGTCATCGAGCTCTCGAAAGAAGTGTTTGAGTGTATCGGTGACATCTTCCACAAAGTGGAAGGTTTTCACTGCACAGCTTGGCTCTTGCCTTGTAGCTGCCCTCTCTTTGTTCTCTGTGGCTCTCCAGTCCTATTTCAGTGCTGCTCTCCCTCCACACCCACGCCCCCATCAACAGCTACCTTGGAACACTTACTACCTGCCAGGGGCTGTGCTAAAAGCTTTACATATGTCATCTTACTATCACAACTATCCTAGAAAATGAGGTCTGCTAGTAGTCCCATTCCACAGAAGGGAGAGCTGAGGCTCAGAAGGTAAAGCAGCTTGCCAAGGGAGATACAGCAGGTTGCTGTTAGGCTGTGGTCTCTGGAGGCAAAGCTCTTGTAGGCAGATCACACCCTCTGGCTGTGCCCATGTCCCCCATCCCCTGCTGGCTCAGTATTGGCCAGTACCCACTCACCATGCTGGGTGACAAAACTGATGCAGGCATCCACGATGATGGGGATGTCACCCCGGCTCATCTGCTGCTCCTGCAGCCCTGTGCCGCCACCGCCGGCTGCCCCCTCAATGGCTGCATTCCATGCTGAGAAATCCAGCCGGCCCTCCCCCTGCAAATACAGGGTCCTGGGACCCGAGAGGCCTGAGTCAGAGCCAGCTCCAGAGGGTCCTTTGAAGTTAAGAGGCCCAGGATCACAAGGACCAGACTTCTCAGAGCCACCAGCAGGGGGCAGCAACATTCAGCCCAGATGGGGCCCCTGAAGGTGAATTTTTCTTTTCTTTTTTCTTTCCTTTCCCTTTTTTTTTTTTTTAAAGATTTTATTTATTTATTTGACAGCGAGAGAGGGAACACAAGCAGGGGCAGTGGGAGAGGGAGAAGCAGGCCTCCCACGGAGCAGGGAGCCTCATGTGGGGTTCGATGCCAGGACCCCGGGATCATGACCTGAGCCGAAGGCAGACGCTTAACGACTGAGCCACCCAGGCACCCCCCGCTTTTTTTTTTTTAAGATTTTATCTATTTATTTGAGAGAGAGAGGGAAAGAGAGCATGCACATGCAGGGGGAGGGGTAGAGGGAGAGGGACAAGCCGACTCCCTGTTGAGCACAGAGACTGACGCAGGGCTCAATCCCAGGACCCCAAGACCAAGACCCAAGCTGAAGTCAGACGCCCAACCGACTGGACCACCCAGGCGCCCAGTAGGCAGGCGAATTAGAGGAATTGGGCAGTGGTCCAGCAGACCAGGGTGGAAGGTGGGGGCTGAGCTCTCGAAAGAGGGACGCCAGGGTCAAGGATTGGGGTAACAGTTACCTTCCTGTCTCCACCAGGACCAAATGCTCCTTCTTGTCTGGGGTGTCAGCTGCTGAAACCACACCTGGGAGAAGAATCATCAGACATTATCATCATAATTGTCTTCATCATAGTGACAAATAAGTCACTAAGTATTTAATGTATGTAGGTGCCAGACTAGGAGCCTTACAAACAATGTTGCATTAAATCCTATAAGTTACATACTATTATCCCCATTTTACAGGTGACACATTAATGCTCAGAGAGGTTAAGTTTCTTGTCTCTTTACTTGTTATATAATGGCAAAGCTGAGCTTGAACTCAGGTCTCTTGTCTCCAAAGCCTTCCAATATTATCCCACACTGTTCCTCTTTGAGGAAGAAGTGAGAGTACCCAGTCCCCTTTCCCAGTCTCTAACCAGCAAGTGACCCCAAATAATACTAACAGTAACATTAATAACATATAACATTTATTAAACACTAATAAAAAAATAAAAATAAATAAACACTAATAAGATACCTTCTGCCAGGCTCTGTGATAAGTGCTTTACATGCATTACCTTATTTGAAACTTACAACTCTTTTATCATGCCCATTGTAAAGATGAGGAAAATAAGGCACAGAAAGGCTAAGTAACTTGTCCAAGGTCACATAGCTAGGAAGTGATAGAGATGGGGGTCTGTATCTGGGCAGTCTGACTCCAGAGCTTGTGCCTGAATCCACTATGTTCTGCTGCTTCCCATAGGGACCCCAAATAGATGAAGGTCCACTGCCCCCTACCCCATGGCCACCTTTCATCCCCGTCCCCACCCCTGCTCACTGATTTCCTGTAGCCGCCGCAGATGCACCATGTCCTCGGGGGCTGGCGGGCCAGGGCCCGGTGCTGGACACAGGAAGAGGTGGTCACCACGAAGAAGTCCGAACCCTGACAGCCAGAGGCCAGGGGCCAGGGCTGAATGGGTGGGAGAGCGCAGCCACAGGCGGCCCAGCCGCAGCAGCCCGGGACCCAACAGCTGGTGGCAGCTCAGCGGGGAGAACCACTGGGAGGCAAAAGGAGAACACGGGCAACAAGGAGGGTGGGGAAAGAGACAAGATGGGGGGGGGGGCGGCGTGAAATAAGAGTGAGAAGGATAAGGAAAGACATGAAGAGAAAGCAGAAGAAAGAGAGGAATGAAAAGGAATCAGGAGAGAGCAGAAGAAAGACCCAAGGAAACAGGAGATGGATGGAGAAAGACAGGAAAGAAATTCAGTTCAATTTAATTTGCTCTGGCCAACACAGAGAAGACCTTCTGCCCTTTGCAGGATGTCGGAGCCAGAAGGAATAGGGAGTCACAATGCTGTAACTGAAGAGTCATGATGCCCTGGGAAATCCCAGCATCGTAAGCGGCCAGGGGAGGCTTTGTGGAGAAACAAGTGTTTGAGGTGGTCCCAAAGGAGTGCTTCCCCAACCACCCGTGGGGAAGGAACAAGGGGTTCTTCTTTCCTTTTTTATTCAAAATTCCAATCTGTTACTAACCAGTAAAAAACAAAAACAAAACAACGCAAAACTACTAGCAAAGTGAAATTTAAAAAGAAACATAAAATATAAGGCCCCACTTTAAGAAATTATTCTACACCTAAAGTCACTCTGTTACATTGCTAAGAAAGATTCTGAATGCTCACTCTCAAGTTCTGTTCTTATCCTGCCAGAGGCCACGACAAAGGGTGAGCCAGTGTGGTGCCCCAGGCTGCAGACTGCACTTCGGGGAGCACGGCCTTTAAGGAGGAGCTACATTACTGGAAAGTGCAGCTGACAATCAGAGGAGAGAGCATGGTGCTTCGAGGGCCATGGCAGAGCCCTGAAAGGACATGAAGACAATTTCTTGGCGGGAGTTCTACTCCTCTAGCTAGGAGAGTGGGGTCAGAAGCCAGAGAGCAGGTGAGCATTTCCCACAGAGGAGTGCCACGTGCTGCAGAGCCGACCGGGTGAGGCCAGGAGGAGGCCCTTGGACTTTGGTAATGGGAAGTCACTAGGCACCCTGCAGCATGGCAGCTCAGAGGGCTAAGGAGGAAGTGCAATCCCGCCAGGGCGCACAACGTTCTGACGGGCCGTCAGGAGGGCGCCAGTGGGATGAGCTGACGGTAGAGCAGGGCTGAGGGAAAAGCTGCGTGAGGATGGAAGCGACTGGCATCCTCATCACCATTACTATTTCAACACCCACAGATGGAGGGCCTGCTGTGTGCCAAGCAGTGCGGGCCTCACGTGTCACTTAATGCTCACCCCCCGAAGGGCATGTCTTGTACACCCACTCTATCCCTATGGAAAAGCTCACGAGGCTGAGAGTTGGAGGACTCAGATCCCAGCATGTCTGATTCTAGGGCATGAACATTTAACTCCAGAGAGAGGGTGCAGGGTGGAGACTGGCTTGCCTGGGAATGGAGATGCTGGGGCATGTAAAGGCAGCCTTCCCTCTGGACTGGGAGAACTTGGGGGGTGGGGTGGGGAAATGGGTGTTAGAGGCAGCCTTTTCTTGGGCGGAGGCCCAGCACAGTGAGGTTTGGGCCATGAGCTTTGGAGACAGAGGTCTGTTTCTGATCCTGTGCTCTGCTGCCTCCTAGCTCTGTGACCTTGACCAAGTGACTTCATAACCTCTGTGACTCTGTTTCCCTATATGTGAAATATTGATAATCCTTTCCTCTGAGGGTTGCTGTGAAAGTTAAATGAGAGATTGAGTGGCTAGTGCCTGGTCCTAGCACAGCTGTTAACCTGAGCTGTCAGTGGACAGTGGTGGGAGTGGCTGTAGGAATAAGAGAGGGCAGGATAGGGGCAGCTGGGGAGAGGGAAACCATGAGCTGTTGGGGAGGGGTCTCAGCTGGCTCACCTTGCCCACAGCACTGGTCCAGGCCTCTAGACTATCAGCGCCATCTGTGCCAAAATGCTGGATCCTCCCCCCGGTGAGGATGAGCTCAAAGGAAAAGGGGAACCTAGAGAGAAAGTGAGGTCAAGGAGGAGAACGCGAACCAAGAGGGGGCTGGCAGGCTTTGGATCACGAAGGGCAAAGGAGGAGTGCAGGGAGCACAAGGCGCAGTTACCTGTCGAGGTCACCTGGGTCAGTGGGTGGGGGACTCACACCCAAACATACAACATCCTGGGGCTGGATGAGGCTGAGGGGTTCAGGGCTGCTTTCTGATGCAAACATTTCCAGAGCCGCTCTCAGCACGCACCACAGCCTGGGGGGAGCTAAGGGGGAGGCTGATGGTCAGCAGGCAGAAGACCTCGGTCCCTACTATCATAATTCCCATTTACCAGATAATTATTCCATCTACGCCACACCCTCTGCCTATGTATGATCTCATGTAATCTTCACAACAACCCTATGAGGTGGGTAGCACTTTCAGTTCTCTTTTGCAGATGGGGAGACCGAGGCCCAGAGTTTGAGTAGCTTGCCCAAGTCACATTAGTAGGAAGTAGCAGAGCTGGGATTTGGCCCAGGCAGTCTGACTTCACAGCACAGTTCGCGGCTATCTCCCAATGCTGCCACTGGGCATGGTCCCTCTCTCACTCCCGGCACCCAGCCCCCATGCCAGGGTGTGGCCCTGCTTGCTCTTTCCAGCCCTCTGTGCTACACTCTTGCTCATTCCAGTTTCTGCCCCATCTCCTCCCACACTCCGCTCCGCTCTCACCATCCCGGCCCCTGCGAGGAGGTGGGGGTCCAGCTTTGCTGCTGATGGGACCACAGTACAGGAAGCTGCTGTAAGTGGCAGGTACCACCACCTCATTGTACACACCAGGGGAAGGGTCTGCAAGGGGAAGAAGTGGTCAGTCAGTTCAGGGCAGCGCAGTGGGATGGCCTGAGCCCCCTGGGGGAAAGGATCAGGTTGAGGAGGACAGTGGGACCCGACTTCACTGGTAGCATGGCCAAATCAAGCCTTGCGGAGGGGTCTCGGCTGGAGTAGGAGCAGGACCCCTCACCAGCCACATTAGAAAAGAGGGTGGCAGGAAGTGAGACTCCAGCCCTTGCCCACTGCCTGTCGCCACCAGTGAGCCGACCTAGGGGTGGGGGCCTCCGAGCATGGGCCGTCCTGTAGGTGTCTCAGCCCCTCTGGCCTGACCACTGGAGGAAAGCCTCTTTAGATGACCATTTCTATGATCAGACTTCCCCCAGGGAGATGAGACCTCACTTAGGGGTTGACCTTGTCAGGGGTAGACCAGCACTAACACCTCAAGCACCCAGATCCACCCCAAGCAGTGGCCACCATTGGTCATTTCATGACATCAGGAAATAGACCCCATGGGATCTAGAAGTTTGGGGAACTGCCCAGACTGGGCTATTGTGATGGCCTGAGTAAGAGGACACTTGGGGCTTCCTGGAATCATCAAGGCACAAGTCAGGGCTGAGAATGCTTGGAGAGTGAGAAAGGGGGCCCTTGTGGGAATTACCTGGGAGCAGGAGACCAGGAAAGCTGCCATCGAGGGCTGAGGGGGACCAGGGCTCCTCGCCCTCTGAGGCCTCAACACAGAGGAGCTGGGTCATGTTCTTCAGCAGGTTGGGTCCTGCCACAGCTGCACACAGTGCCTACAGAGGGGGAAGGGCCTCTATCAGCCCCAAGACCCAACCTGAGAGCATGGGGACAGTCTTGCAGTTATCAGAAACAGCCCCCAGCACCCCAAGTCTAGGCATTTCGGCTTAGAGACTGCCCTCCTCCCCATCAGCTCCTACCTGGAGAAGCTGGTTATGATCCGGATACTGAGGGTGGGGCTTCCGGTAGAGACCCAGCCGGTACTTCCGGGAGATGAACTCTCCCCGGGGGCCAGGGCTTGTATCTGGATGCAGCCCCTCGCCTAGGGGTAGTGCCCCTGCCCAGAAGCGGTTGGCACGATCATTTCCCAGAACAATGAACAACTGTAGGATGACAAGGGGCAGAGGCAAGTGACAGGAACTCAAGAGTCTCAGACATTCCTGCCCCCAAGCTGGGCCCAAGGCCTTTTTTGGGTGCTCTCCCTCCCTCTTCCCACTTTCTCCCTCTTCAGACTCCTCACCTGCACTATCTCATTACTCCAGACACTTGTGTCCAGCTTCAGGCTCTGTACCTTGGAGATCCCAGAACCCAGGGCCCGGTGCTGCCCTGTTGGGGTGTGGAGGGTACGTGGCACAGATACTCAGAGCCCCCTGCCCTCGCCCCCCTCCCTTTCCCTGTTTCAGCGAGAGGCCCCGGCCCTCACCTGCACACTGCTTGCAGATGACCACCCCCAGGTTGACAGCGGCCCAGTCTGGGCGGGAGGCCCCACAGTCCGCACAGTGCCGGTTTGCCCGATTGGACCAGATTTTCTCAGCCACCTCGTAGTCAGACAGGGTCTCGGTTACTGCTTCCTGCAGAGCGGCCGCCCAGCTCTGCCGAGCCCCCCCAGACTCGGCTGTGAAGCTGAGGGGTGGACAGCCAGTCCGTGGGCATGGAGACCCCCTCCAACCTGTCCCATCCCACTGGCCGTTCCTGCAGGAGCCACCACAGCCACCGCTGGGCCAGCCCAGACCCTCCTGAGACCTTGACCCTGCTCACTGGACTCCCGTCAGTGCAGGGAGCCTCCTACTGAAGAGGCCTCCAGTCCTCTGCCCACCCTGTGCCTCCGTGCAAAGTCTCTCCCCCAGCCCTGCCTCCTGCCAGTCTGGGCCCCACCTGAAGCAGCGATGGGGTGTGAGCAGATCAAAGCTGCGACTCTTGGTCTCCCGGACGCTGCAGCCTTGCAGTTCAATGAAGCAGATCCCGATGCCCAAAGAAAAGGCCTGGTGGGAATGGTGGCGGGGGCGGGGGGGTGGTTGGAGCAGGCACAGTGAGGCGCCAGAATGGACTAGGCCAGGCTCCTTGGCCCCGGCCCGGCCCTTCTCACCTGCTCACTCTTGTACAGCGCCAGCTCCCCAGGACTCAAAGCGGCAAAAACCTTGGCCTTGTGTCCGCGGAGCTCCAGCATGCCTGTGCGGAGGGGTCGGGGTGGCTGAGGGGGCCGGGGGTGGCCCAGCAGGCGCTGCTCCCTCAGGCAGGATTGTAGCGTGGAGCACCATGTGTCCCGCTGGGCTGGTGGGGGCCAGAGAGGCAGGTGAGCCAGCGGGCCGTGTGCCCACACGGCCTTCCTGCCCCCACCCGGACACAGCAGACACAGCGGGCCCTGATTCTCACCCTCGCTCTCTGTGCGAAACACGAACACCCTCTGGCCAGTGATGACCTGGAACTTGTTGTCCTTGCTGCTGCGGGCCATCTCAATGGCAGTCAGAGGGATCACGCCCTTGGGGAAGGGATCCTGGAGAGACAGTCCAGTGACACATAGGGACAGAAGCTCAGCCACGTGTGCTGACCCAGGAGCCAGCACCAGCTTTTAATGAGGTCAGCATTCATGTCACAAGCAGTGGGGTACAGCTGCTAGCGAGCTACTTTAGATGCTGACATCAGTCATGTGGTGACCCCCCCCACCACGGCCTTCCCATCTTCCAGTCCTCAGCTCTCCCCCTCCCTCTCTCTGTCCCCAGGCCCCACACAGCATCTCTCAGACCCCCACCTTATCGCTGCCAAAGTACATTAGACTCCTCCCATTGAACTGCACAAAGCGCCTCTGGAAAACGTAGTTTCTGGGGACAGGAGGGGCCAAGATGAGTGAGCAGTGGAGGCTGTATCCTGGGGGGCTCCTAGGGTCTGGGAGCACTTGGGACCTGACCCCCCCCCACCTCCCCCCAGCCTCCCTCCCCTCCCTCCCCTCCCTAGCAGCCCCACCCCTGAGGGGAGAGCTTGTCTAGCCAGCCACTGAGAAGCGGCGTGGGGCGGTCTGCTGTGGAGGAGAAGCTGGCATAGGGTGAAATGAGGTCATCGTTGGTCTCCATGTCCAGGGTGGGTGGTGAGAGGGTGGCATCCCCGGGCAGCTCAAGGCTGGCATAGCCAGCGTCCTCCCGTGCCTCCAGATCCTGCCTGCTGAGCCTCATGTGGGGCAAGACAGAGGAACACACATTAGACCCAGGTCCCTGGACATCCCCACCTGCGGTGTTTCGTAGAATGCCTGGCAGGTACTGGATCGCTTTTCAACAGGGGAAAAGGGCGGTTGGGAACCCAAAAGATTGGCACAGAGTCTCTTCCCTGAGCACACTTAGATTTTTGATTAGAGCAATTTCAGTCCCTGCCCTCTGCCATTAGTGTTACTTGGTAGAAAAGTCGGGGAGGGGCTGCGTAGCTGGCTCTCTGCCACAGACGCCAATAGCTAATCAAGAAGTCTTCTTGATCTTTTCTCCAAAAAGGGCTTGACCGTCCCTCCCCGGACCAAGTTCCGGTCGGTTCTCACCAGGGTGCTATGAACTGCCTAACTGGTTACCTGCTTCCCCTCAGGCCCTCCCTCCGACGCCCATTTTTCCACCACCATCAGAGTGCTCTTTTAAAAATGCAAGTGAGATCATTTCACTCCCCCCCGCATGAAATCCTGCAATAACTTCCATTTGTAATTAGGATAAATCCAAATTCCTTACCATGGGCTGCAAGACCTTATACAGTGAGACCCACGGCCAATCCCCTGACCTCTTCTTACATCACCCTCGCCTTTGCTTCCTACCATTCAGCCACATTCTCTTCTCTCTTTCAGAGTCTTTGCACATGCTGCTCCCTCTGCCTGGAACATGCTTCCCCAGTCTGCTTTTTCCCATCCGTTAGGTCTTTGCTTAGGCCATCTTCCCAGGAGGTCCTCTATTATTCTCTGCCACTTTCCAGTAGTCCTTACCTCAGTAGCACAAAATCACTTGCAAAACCTTAAAATACGGGTATATGGGCCCCATACTAGACCCCTGAGTATGGTCTTCTGGGAGTGGGGCCCAGGCATCTCTAGCTCTGAAAGTTCCCCAGGCTGTAGTGCAGCTAAGGTTGAGAACCATCACTCTACCCTCTTTGTTTTCTACTTCACTGAGAAACTGAAGCAATCAGACAAGAACCCCACAGACTCACAGTGCCTCATCTACCAAGTTTCACACATACTTTGCATTCCTTCTGCTACCATCGTAAACATCTCTGTCTGAAGCCAGTCCCTCCTCTGTGCACTGTCCTCTCACCTATGCAAGGACATTGCTCCAGACTTTCTCCCCTTTCTCTCCTCTACAGCAGCTAATTTTCCCTCTCTCCCAGATCACTGCAATCCACCTATAAACACACGTAACACTCCATCCTACAAAAAACATTTCCTGACTCCATTTCCACTATCATCAACCACTCAACTCTCTGCTCTTTTCTGCAGAAAAACTCCTCAAAATTGTTGTCTATACATTCCAACTCCTTCTGTTATCTCCTGAGACCCTTCCGATGCAGCTTTCACCTCTATCCCTTGTCAAGGTCCTCGGTGACCTCCATGTTGTCAATTCCAGAGGCCAATTCTCAGTCCTCATCTTCCTTGACCTCTGAGCAGCACTTGACTCCGCTGACCTCCGCCTCCTCCTTTCTTCACTTGGCCCCTCTAACACCATATTCTCCAGGTCTTCCTTTTCCTTCACTAGCCATTCCTTTTCAGTCTGTTTTGCGGGTTCTTCCTCTTCTCCCAAACCTCTCGATACTGGAGTGTGCCAGGACTCTGATCCTGGTCCTCTGCTCTCTCGACACGCACTCACAGCTACATACACCCACCTAGAGGCTGACAACCCGCAAATTCAGATCTCTCCCCCGAACTCCAGACTTGTATATCCAATGGCCTATCTGTCATCTCTTCTCAGGCTTATAACATATACCTCAAATTCAGCACGCCCAAAATGGAAGTCCTGATCTCCCCACGCCCCCCACCCCCCCAAGCTTTGTACACAGCCTTCCCCATGTCAGAACAGAGCAACTCCAGGAACTTTCAGTTGCTCAGATGGCGCTATCCAACAGAACCCAATGTGAGAACCACATGTGTGATTTTCAATTTGCTAGCAGCCATGTTAAAAAAATAAAAAGAAACAGGTGAAACTAATTGTAATAATATATTTTATTTAATCCAACATACCCAAAATATTAACATTTTATTATGTCATCTGTATAAAAAGTAAGATGATTTATGTCTACTTCTGTTACACGCATCCAGTATTGCTTTTTTCGCACTAAGCGTCTGAAATTTGGTAGTTTTACAGTTACAGCACATCTTACTCAGACTAGCCACATTTCACATGTTCAGTAATCACACGTGGTTAGTGGCTACCACCCTGGACAGTGCAGGCTCAGCCTGAAATCCCTGATGTCATTCTTGACTGCTCTTTCTTCTCACACCCCAATTTCCTAGGATAGTTTGCCTTTAAAATATAACCCAAATCCAACCATTTCTCACCATCTCCACTACCGTGATCCTCATCTGAGATGTCTCACCTAGATTACTGCAACCACCTCCTCACTGGTCTCTTTGCTTTTGCCCCCTACACACCGTTCCCAACATAGAGACCAGAGGGGTTCTTAAAATGTAAGTCAAAACCCTCCCAAAGGCTTCCCATTTCACTTAGAGTCAAAGCGAAAGTCCCTACAAGGTCCTACCTGATCTGGTCCCTTTTACCACTGTGACGTCATTTCTTCCCACTCTTCCTGCACTGGTCACTCTGCCCCAGCCCTGCTGGCCTTGTCGCGGCTCTTGGGTCCCCCTGAAAGCCTCTATTCTGGCCACCACCACCGCCCCCCTCCTGGGACACTTTTTTCCCAGATATTGTCATGACTAACTCCTTCACCCCCTTCATTTTGCTCAAGTGTCATCTTAACACTCTGGCAACTCGTAATGAAAAACTGCAGGGCGCTTCCCCCTCGCTCCATCCCAGCCTTCTGACCCCGCTCTGTTTTTTTCCATGGCACTTACCGCCTTTTAACATATGATGTAACTTACTGATTGTATCTATTGTTATTTGACTATCTCCCCACAGGGGCAGGGATTTCTGATCTATCCTAAGTACCTACAATATCTGGCATGCAGTAAGTGCTCAATAAAGATTTCCCAAATGAAAGCATGAAAAGCCCTTCTCCCTATTTTAAATCATATGCCCATTTGTTTGTCTGCTTGTTTCATTGCCTGTCTGGCCCACTGAGTCACAAGCTGCCTGAGGAGGGGACTGGGTCTGTCATAATCCTCCTGTATCTTAAGTACCTGGCTGGCACACAGGGGACACTCAATGTACCCTAATGAATAACTGGATACATGGCCACCACCAACCAAGCTCCTCAGGCTTCCCTCTTCCTGCCATCACCACCCTCCTGACTACTCACCTTTGTTCAGCCCTGTCCTGACAGACACCTCTGCCTTCTCTTCTGTCGGGTGGCCCTGGGACGCCCACAGGCTGGACACCATAGTACAGACAGCCAGGGTCCATGATGTGCACTGGCAGGGGGAGGGTGGGGAAGACAGGAAGAAGAGGTCAGGTGGCAGCGTCTGGGGTCCTGAAGGGCCCTGTCCCGCTCCCCCGAACCCACGATAACGCGCCTACCTGTGCCTGTTGTGGGCCGGAGGGCAGGGGTGGGGGCAGCTGCCTGGGAGCTGTCCGGGGCCCTGAGGGAAAAGGTCTAGTGATCATTAAGGGAGAGAGGAGAACGGACTAGGCCTCGCGTCCTGCTCCTCCCTGCCCCCATCCAGCACTGGCTCCCAAGGGAGCCAACCCCACTCACATGTCCTGAGCTGTCTGTGCCCCGCCTCTTAAGTCCAGGCCAAAGTAGATGGCATTGGGCATCATCTCCATAGTATTCAAGACTGAAGTCTGCTCAGAGGAGGCTGCGGGGAGAGGAGGGGACTTCGGGCTGGACTCTGGGCTCCTGGGCACGTCTGGTCTCCAGAGGGCTGGGCTCACTCCAGGCCTTTGGGTGGTGGTAGGGCCGCTGAGCCCACCAAATACTGTCCTGGGCTTAGGCACAGGCTTGGGGGGCTGGGCTTGGGGAGCTACGCTGGGGGATGGCTCCATGGCACCGTCCGACTGGGGATCCAGGGAGCCCTGTGCAGCCCCGGCCTGCAGCAGGCGCAGAATGCGTTTCCGGTGCCCTGTGGCGCTGATGCCCAACTGCTTCAGCTCCTCGTGGCCCAGGCCCCGGGCTGCACCCGCCGTGGCCAGGCCATGCCGCCGGAACGTGTCTGCATACTGCTCCAGGTGCACCGTGGCCAGCCACACAGCGATGTCCAGGTCCTGAGGGGCAGCCATGGGGGCTCAGGCCATTGCTGGGGGGAGCGGCAGGGTGAAGGGAGGGCTCAGGCTGAGATTCCCCCTCCCTGTCCCAAAGTCTGAGGCCTGGACCGGGGATAGGTACCAGACTCCAGCCTTCCTCCAAAGAAAAATGACCAGTGGCCGGCAGTCTGGAGGAAGAGCCGTCCCAGAACATCAGAAAGGGCTTTCTTATTATAGGAGAATCCCTTCATTTGCAGGTGAGGACACTGAGGCCCGGAGAAGGGAAGAGGCTTGCCCCAGGTTCTCAAGAAGTTGGTAGACGTGTTGGCCCCCAAGCTCCTGCCCACCCTAGGTCTGGATCAAAGCTCTGCCTTCGCTTTACTGCATACTCAACCAAGTAAGCATAGGACAAGATGAGAGAAGTCTGCAGGGGCAGAATGGAGTGGGATGGTGGGGAGGAGGGGCCCCATGATGTGGCATAAGGTGGGGACAGGGCAGCTGTCGCATGGGAGGAGGGAGGAGGGAGGAGGTGCAGACCCCACTCCCCCTGGTTTGCAGAGCTGAAGTCCAGGCCATCCTAATCCTGTCCTTCCCAGTTCCTCCTCCCCTTCCACCTATTGTCTCTGCTCAGACTTCCTTCCTGTCCCTCCGGCCCTGGCCGCCCCCACATCCTGTCTGCCTTGGTCAGGCTGCCCAGAGAGCCCTAACTCGTCTCAGCAAGTAGGGTCCTGGCCCTGGGAAGAGACCACTTGGTGGAGTGCGGATAGGATGGAGAACTGGGCCACTCCACCAACCTGCAGCATGTTCACACACGTGTATGCACACATGAGCATCCTCCCTGCGGGGACTCAGAAGTGTGAAATGACATCCCCCTACCTCTGCTTTGTCCCAGTCTTCCTCTTCTGAGCCTTCCCGTTCCCTGCCCATGCCACTGGGCTCATGTCTCTGAGGCTCTACCCTATTCTGCCAAACTGCCCCTGCCCCTGGTCTATTCTCTGGACCCATCTCAGATTCTGCCTCTCTGGAGTTTTCCCTCTGCCTGTCCCCATCTCTACTGCACTCCATCTGTCCCCACCTCTACCTAAATCCATCTTTGTTCCTCTCCTTCTTTTGCTCTCTCTCATTAAGCCTCTCCTTGCCTCAGTCTCCAATTTCAACTAGATCCTTAGTTGTATGTAACTCCAGATTTCTGTCTCTCCGCCTCTGCCTGGTAGGCTCCCTCCCTGTTGCTCCCTGTCGCTCTCTGTGGGGTTCTGACCAGGACGGCCTCTCGCCCCAGCATCAGTTCTGGCCTCTCTGCCTCTCCGCAGTTGGGCCCCATCCCCAAGCTTGTTAGGGCCTGACTCAGAGCCCAGTTTCCCAGTGACTCAGACCCATCCGAGGGCACGGGACTGGGAACCGGGAGGTGCGCCGGGGCCCGGAGTGCCGGGGGCGGGCCGGGCAGCGCGGGGCAGTGCGGGCTGCGACAGGGGAGGGGGCAAGGAGGGAGGGGGCAGAGGCCGGGCCACCGGAGGGAGGGGCGGGTCGCGGCGGGGAGGGGGCAGGGGAGGGCCGCCGGCGCGGAGGGAGCCCTCGAGGAGGGGACGGGGAGGAGTCTGGGAAGCAGGGGCCCGTGGGCGCGGGGGTCCTCACCTCACTACGCGGCCGCCGTCCGCTCCCGCTGCCTGTCGCGCCGTCCGAGGCTCGGGCCGCGCCGCGCCGGCCCCGCCTCCCCTCAGCCCTCCCCCGACGGGCCGGGCCCCGCCCCGCCGGCCGGTTCCCTCCGCGGGCCCCCCGGCCACTCCTTGTGCAAGCGCCGGCCTTCAAAAGGTTCGGGCTCCTTACCCAACCGCTGCGCTTATCTCGGGGCCTGGCCAGCTCTGCCCTCTTAGGGGCCGAGAAAGGGACCGGAACAGGGCTGGAGGCCAAGACAGCCTCAGAGAGAGGGACAAAGGGGCAGAGACCAGAATGGAGGTGGGACAGGGGTAGAGCCAGAGCAAAAAGGAGAGCGCTGTGTGGAGGACGGCTTTGCATCCCATCTGCTGTTCCCTCCCCGTCGTGACAAAAGAGGAGGGCAAGGGGTTGGCCTTAAGCCCCCAGGGTGGCAGGCCCTCTCCGACGCCCAGCACGGTGGCTGGGCCCTGGCACCCTGTTAATGGGAAGACGGAAGCTAGCATCTAGAAGTCACGGATAGCCGTAGCCTTCCAAGCTGGGGAGCCCTTCAGCAGCAGCCCAGCGATTGGAGGTGGGGGAAGAGGGGCAGATGCCCAGCAGAGGAGTCCCCATCTGCTTCTCCCTCCCCGAGGGCCACGCCTAGGTTTCTTCTCGGAGGTGAAGGTCAGCTAGGCAACATTCCTACTCCTAAACCAGGGCTTGGGGCTGTCTTTTTGAGGACAAGCCTGGTGGCCTGCAAGCACGGTGACCCAGCAAGCAGTCTTTTCTTCCTTGGGAGAAACCCCTTCTCCTCATTCTCTTACTGCAATTTTTTTTTTTTGCCGGGGCGGGGGGGTTGCCTGAGGAGAAATGGCTCCTCTCCTCTTCCCCACTCTTGCTTGGGACCCCCAACCTTGGAGCCTGTCCCCCAGAGCCTGAGGCACTTCCCCCCTCAGAGCTGGACTGGCTTAGCTCTGTGTGGTGGGAGGGCGGAGGAGGAGGGAGGAGGGGGGAGGGGGGGGAACACCACTGTCTGGCTGTGTTTTCCTGTTTGTACGAGAGGAAGTTGGCTGTGAGTCAGCAGACACGGGAGCTGTCAGCAGCTAGGGGAAGACCCCCCCCCCCAGCAGAAGGTGAGGGGAATGTGGAAAAGGGGTCCCCACCTCTCCCAGCTAGCTAGCTTCTCCAGCTTGGACAGGATCTGCCATCTTCAGCCTCCTGGAGCTCTTCTCTCTGAGAAAGAGAGCGATTATGATAATTAATCATTAAAATGGCCATAGTAATGGCTACCACTTACAGAGAGCTGACTCTGTCCCGGGCCCTGTGCAAATATTGCGCTGCAAGTTTCCATTAATCCTCACAACTCTTAAGATAGGGAATTTTATCACCTCCATTTTACAGATAAGGAGACATTTTTCTGGATGGGCAACTGTGCGGCCAGGAGAATGCTCTCCACGGACCTCCTACTCTAAAGACTGAAAATTGGCCAAAGGCCTCAGCTACTTCTCTCTGAAGTCCATGAGGTCCTAGTTTAAGACCAGCTTCCCACAGGGCTGCTCCCAGCCAATGACCAAGCTCAGCAGAGACCCTAAGGTAGGCCCAATCCTGAGAAATAAGGGGACTCCTCTGACAGCTGACCTTGACTCAAGAGTCCCCCCTGTGCCCTTGATGCACTTTCCTTCTCCTGCACAGTGGTCTAGGATGCTTCCTCCCAACCTTCCTTCCTTTGCTCTCTCCTTCATCCCTCTCCCAGCCCCTGGCTCCCTGCCTCTCCCACATTTCCCAGTAACTCAACAAGAGAAGGGAATCAGGTAAATTACTATGGGGCACAGGGAGTTTGGAGGGACAGGTACTGGGGGCTCCTGGTCAGGGTCCAGATGCAGGAGTTCTGAACCTTTTTTGTGTCAAGTTCCGCTTTGGCAATCTGGTAAAACCTAGGTACCCAGTCTCAGAATAATGTTTTAAAACGCATGAAATGAAATCGGTAGGCTTACAAAGGAAACCGATTATATTGTAATACAGTTGTAAAACTATTTTAATGTGATATAGTAAGATATGTGCTTCTTTATCAATGCTTTAAATAAGATCTAGCAGTAGGTTGATACCTCACATAATTCTGAAGCAGTGAGGAGCATAGATGATATTTCAAAATATCTGCAATACTGTAAGAGGATACAAAAATATAAGTGATTTTTATCGGTGACAAAGCCATACTTATGGCTAATATGACTGGTTTGTGGCTACTGTCATAATTGAAGGAAATGCTAAATTTCAGCTAGAGATTCGTGAAAATAATATAATATTTTTTCCCATCCAGGTTTAGTGACTCCACACTGAGGACACCTGAGTTAAGATGGTCAGGACAGAGCTGCAGAAAGGGAGACCCAGATCTCCTCTGAGACCTCATGCTCCCTGTCTGGCTCAACCCTCTGGTAGTGGTGGGTGAAGACTCTGGTCCCTGGGTTGTACCTCCCTTCCCTCTTTCTCCCTGGCTCTCTTACTTTCTCTCTGTCTCTCTCTAACATGCACCTCTCATATCTATTTCTCTGTTTCTCTTATTTCTGTCTCTTTTCTTCTTTGTCTTTCTGTCTTCCTTTGGATACCTTTCTTTCTTTGCTCTGAAACTTCTTGTGTTTTTCTCTGTGTGTCCATCTCTCTGCCTCTTCTCTCTCTGTACCTCTGTCTGTCTGTGCCTCTCTGTCCCCTTAATCCGCCACTGAAGGGACAGGGCAGATTCAAAGGATTCCTGTAGCCTGAGCCCAGTGGGACAAAGACAATGCCAGTTGTAGGGTCCTTGACAGCTAGGAGAGAGCGTATCCCTGGGCCTGCAGCTCTGGCTCGGGAGGCAAGGGTCTTCCTTCCCCACTCCCTCTTCCATTCTCAACTTTCTTAAGGGCAGAAACAGGTCAAGACAGAGATGAGTGAGAATGAAGGCAGTGAATGGAAACATTTCAGGCTCTGGAAGATAAGGGCTAAAGCCTCTGTGACCCTGAGCTTGGATACAGTGGATCTTTCTCCAAACTCCCAGGAATCCTGGTGTCAAGGCTGTCTTCTGCTCTCCTCCATGCCTGGGCAGAGAAGGGGAGGAGTACTGAACAGGTCTGGTGTGCGGGCACAGGGACTCACAGGTTAAGCCTGCAGCAGATATCTGCCTTGGCCCCCAGTGGGTGGGCAGAAGGGAGCTCAGTGGGCTCAAGGAAGGGGAGCAGAGAGTTCTGGGATTGATCTTTCCTCTGAGTACTTAAGAGTGGGGTCAACTGTTCCCTTGGGGCAGTATATGCCTCCCAAGAAGATTTAGATGAGGGGAGGGCTGTTGGTCTGAGAAAATGGGGACAGAGAGTGGTCACGGAATGCCCTAAAAGAGCTGAAGGCACCCTAGGAAAAGAGAGTAGGGGGAACAGCAGTGTGGGAGGTGAACCAGTTCATAGGAGTGAGACTGAGATCATGTGGGTGGCTAGTGTCCCTTAGAGGGGCTGCTTCTCCGGGAGGCTGTCGTGGATCCCTGCTCTTTAGCCAAACCTCCTTCATCCTCATTGTCCAAGGGGTTTACCTACAGCAAGATCAGCAACGCCAAGCTGAGCCAGGCAACTCACTTTACTCCAAGGACTGCCATGGCTGGGAATCTGGGCTGAGCTGCCATGACCTTTTGGGGTATCGTCTGTGACTCTTTCAGGGCCTGGTGGGCTCAGGATGAGAGGAAAGGACCCTCTCCAAACCTTGACCCTGGACTCCCACCAGTTCACCCTGGCAAGAGAGACCCCATTATTGACCATCACCATCTGATCTGCCTGCTCTGGTCTAATCCAAATGACAATTGCAGGGCTCATGTGACCCCATGTATGCATGGAGCCACAGTTTAAAAATAAGGGACAGTCCAGAAACCAAAAAGAATGAACAGGTTCTCCAATGCTTCATCTCTCAGGAGATCTTATAACCTACAGCAACCCTTCTGTGTTGGTCACAAACCTCAGTGGTCTGGGACTTCTCCCTCAGCTATACCCCATCTCCCCAAAGTCCTCCCCTTGGCCAGCACAGTCTTTCTCTCACTCATACTCCTTATTGTGCAGTTTGATTCAGCCTCTCTGGCATTTTGCAGGGAAGGAGTAAGAATACATGTGACTGACACACAGAACAAAAGGGGTACCAGTGAGCAGAAGAAGGGCAGAACCAAGCAGTGGGGATTGTGGAAGGGAATGTTCTAATACCCCTTTCCATGCCTCTCTTTGCTTTTCCACCTCCCCACCCAAATCATAGACCACCACAGCCACGATCACTTAAGAGGCCATTTTGTTCACCAGAAGGGGATGGTGCGATGCAGTAAGTAAGGGCAGTCTCCAGAGTCCAATCCTGACCCACCTCTACTGCTATGTGACCTGAGCAAGTTACTTAATCTCTCTGCACCTTGGTTTCCTTTTCTGCAAAACGGAGATGATAAAATAACACCTACGTCACTCGTTTGTTGGAAAGATTAATCTGTGGAATATACGGGTATGGTGCACTCACTGTAAGTGCTCAATAAATGTTTCCCAGTCCTTATTTCTATTTTTTAAAAAATGTTTATTGTTATGTTAATCCCCATACATTACATCATTAGTTTTTGATGAGTGTTCCATGATTCATTGTTTGCGTATAACACCCAGGGCTCCATGCAGAATGTGCCCTCTTTAATACCCACCACCAGGCTAACCCATCCTCCCCCCTCCAACTCTAGAACCCTCAGTTTGTTTTTCAGAGTCCATCATCTCTCATGGTTCATCTCCCCCTCCGATTTCCCCCTCCTTATTTCTATTTTTGCTAGTCACTTCCACAGTGACTCTGGATTACAACCAGCTTACCTATTACTCCCTCATTCTGGTACATGCCAGGATCTTGTTTTAATCAACCACCCATGGTGTCCTCTTGCCGCATTAGACCACATTGCTCTCCTTGTGCTTCTCCCATCTCCCAAGGTCCCCAGTTGTCATCTTGTTGATTCCACCACTTTTATTACTCCTCATTCCAGGATCCTGGCACCCCGGCACTCCTGCTCACCTTCATTGTCCCCAGAGGCCTCCAGGGCTCATTCCTTCCCCTGCTTTCTTTTTGGGTGGTAGAGGTCACATGCATCGCCCACGCTGGGTCCTAATGAGATGAGCCAGTTGGAGGGCGCATGGACTCTGAGGAGCATGTTTCTTGCAGGAACGAACACTTCTATTCAATCATTTCATTTATTTCTCATATTTTTACTAAGCATCTCTTCTGGACCAACCACTGCTCAAGGGTTTAGAGATATAACAATAAGCAGAAATAGACTGTGGAGAGCTTGGTCTACTAAGGGAGTGAGACATTTAACAAAGAACCCCTAAATAAATGTGTAGAGTCATTACAAACCAAGATGAGTATAACAAGCAGTATAACAGTACACATCA